CCCAGCATTTTAAGATTTACAAAGTCCATCACCCCACAAAAATACTGTGAGTGAATAATTTCAGTTTTATTATCCCCATTTTACAAGTACAGAAAGCAAAGCTCAGAGAAATTAGATTTTGTACATGGTCATTGCAATGAGCGTCTGATTGCTTAGGCATGCAGGTCCGTTAAAGATGTCCCTGTGTGCTATTTGGTATCCTCTTCCATATCTCCTCAAAGTGCCCTTTCATATGGCCTTCCAATAATTCAATCTGAAGAACCTATAGAAAATTCTAGCTCTATCTCTGCCTGAGCATCCTACTCCTGGGATGGTAGTACATAAGTATGCTAGCGCTCTTTAAACAAAACTTGACTCCCTGCATCTTTTAACCATTCCCACCAATAATGACAGAGAGAGATGGATTTATATTGATCAGACGACATAAAATGAAGTGTCCTAGGATTGGTGCTAAGTCTTCCCCTTGTTCCATGTGAGATAAAATTGTAAAATTGTGTTCCCCTCACTTTAACAAATGAAGAACAGAGGGTCAAAGCAATTTCGTGGCTATTTACTGTTAAAGCTGAGGTGCATTCCTAACTCCTCCTATTCCTCAGCTTTTTGTAATCTACCATATTGATTATATAAGATCAAAATAATTTTTGCAGAACAACAACAGTCAGTGCTCTTTGACATGCTATCAATCAAGCATCCACACCACCTGTTATTTGCACAACCCAACACCAGAGTACTTTTGAATAGCAGACCAGTTCTTGGGTACCTCTGCCTGGCTCTCAGTGAGCTTTCTGTCACTCATCTCTTGGCTATGCTACTTTGTGGAGGGTGTTTCTTTTCTCTCATTATTCTAAGGGTTGGTGTAGATTAACCAATCAGCTCATGTTTTGGGTCCCATCCTACTTTGGGGTATACTCCTCTTTGTTCCTTATCTCACTATGGCATCATTAGGGGGTCTTCAGAGAGGAGATAGGATCTGAGCTACATCTTGAAGGACATGAACACATGGAGTAGTAGGGGAGGACATTCTATTTTTTTTAATTTTTAGGCAATTGGGGTTAAGTGACTTGCCCAGGGTCACACAGCTAGTAAGTGTCAAGTGTTTGGTCTGAGGCTGGATTTGAACTCAGGTCCTCCTGACTTCAGGACCGGCGCTCTATCCACTGTGCCATTTAGCTACCCCTAGGGGAGGACACTCTAAAGGAAGGGTGCTGGCTCCTCCAGAGGCATGAGTTCATAGCCCACTCCTCATGACCATGGTTGGATACAAAAGAGCCTTGATATTGAAGTCAGATGACTTGGGGGTCAAATCACACCTCTGATGACTAGTGGTCATGACTACATGGTCTTAGGTAAGTTGCTTATCTTCCCTGGCCCTCTGTTTCCTCATCTGTAAAATGAGAGGGATAGGTTAGATGGCCTCTGAGGGCCTTTCCAGCTCCAAATCTATGATCCTAAGATCTGTGACATCCTCGGAGAAGGGAAGAACATTAACACGGCCCAGCTGTGAGAATGATCATGGTGTATGATGGGAACACCAAGGAGACTGGACTAACGAGAATAGACTGGCCATGCTGAGCAATGATGAGAAGTAAAGTGGGATAAGCAGGAAGGGAGCAGACTGCAGAGAACTCTTCTTGCTCAGCAGAAGAAGTTTACGGGGCAGCTAGATGGCGCAGTGGATAGAGCTCTGGCCCTGGAGTCAGGAGGACCTGAGTTCAAATCCAGCCTTGGACACTTGACGCTTACTAGCTGTGTGACTCTGGGCAAGTCACTTAACCCCAATTGCCTCACCAAAAAGCGGAAAAAAGAAGAAGTTTAGATTTGAATCAGTGAGTAGTAGAATTATAGACCAGAGAGGAAGAATAAAATGAAGTGGATAAATTTTTAATGGACCAACTTTTTGTGATTCTGCATTTTCCTTCAGTAACCATAAACCAGGAACAATGAAATTAGACAATAAAAACGAATAAGGATTGGGGGTTTCCACTGTGGGTTTAGCAAAATCTCAGGGTTAGAACAAGTGTGTTTAAGATAGCAGGGAGGCAAAGTCAAAAGAGTGGATCCTAGAGCCAAGTGTGGGCAAAAAGTCCAATGAAGTCAGGATCATAGCTAATGGACTTGATGAAGCTAGAGGATTCCAGTAGTTATAGACCCCACTACACAGGGATAAAGTTAGATTGTAGAGACCCATAAATCTTAGATTATAGGACAGTCAAAATTCCATACCCTCTCAAAATCACAGACCCTTCATGTATTCATATAATGATTTTTAAAAACTAAAATAAAACCTGATTTATCCAGCTTATCAACATGCATTTATTGAGCTTAGACTATGTCTCTAACACTGTATTAGCTACTACAGCATACAAAAGAAGTTCATGGTACTAGCCCTGCCCCCTGAAGAACCATTTAGCTGGAGAGTCATGCATATGAAAAAATGAATGAGAATTATCATTTATACATATATATATTGCATATGTAATATGTGTATATAGAGATATACAGAGAAAAAGGAAGGAAATAAGCATTTGTTAAGTGCTTACTATGTGCCAGACACCATACTAAACACTTTACCAATATTCTCATTTGATCCTCACTACAACCCTAGGACTACAACTCTGTTATTATCATCCCCATTTTATAGCTGAGGAAACTGAGGCAAGCAGGAGTTAAGTGACCTGCCCAGGGTCACATAGCTAGTAAGTGCCTGAGGCTGGATTTGAACTCAGGTCTTCCTCCAAGCACAGTGTTCTAGACATGGTGCCACCTAGTTGTGTGTATGTGTATGTGTGTGTGTGTGTGTAAAATCAAATATATGAACTCCATCCACCAGTATGGGTTGTCATCCATCTATAAATGAATAGATAAGTCTTAGAGAGCTGCGTGAGACTGAGAGGTCAAGTGATTTACCCCTGGACATATAGCTAGAAAGTGATAGACCTTCTTTTAAGGACCATTTCAATTATCACCACCTATGTGAATACTTCTTTCTGAGTAAAAAATGATCACTTCTTCCCCAACTTCTTCTAACTCTTTGCCTGGATCTCTTCTTTGCCTGTATCTCATTTTTATTTACATCAGTTATTTTTGTACATATAAACATAGACTTAGAACTGGAAGGTTCCCTAGAGAAATATTATTAAATCATAGTTCTTGTCTCCTCTCTGGTGATTATCTCCAGTTTATGCTGCATATTCTTGTTTGTACATAGTTGTCTGCACATTATCTCTTCCATTTGACTTTGGGCTCCTTGAGGGCAAAAAATGGATTATTTCTCTTTGTTTTCATTTTGGTTTTGTCTTTCTTTGTATTGCTAGTGCTTAGTACATAGCCCAACACGTAATAAATGCTTAATAATTGTTGATAGATTGGCATCACTCTGGTACTCAACAAACTACAGTGAATCAAGTGCAAATTCCTCTGTCATTTACAAGTTTTCACAGCCTGTATTTCCAGGCTTCTTATACAGTTATCTCTTCCATATTTTGACTTGCCCCATCAAGGTTTTGATATATTGCGAGTTGGCATGAAAAACTGAAGCTGCAGATGACACATGAAGGCCAGCAGATAACACAGAAAAAGTTTAGAAATGCATAAAATCTACATATAGTATTGTATAATATCAACCCAAATTTTACAATAAGATACTTTGAATACCCCATAAAAGAAAAAGAAAAAATTCAGACTACTTCTCTGCTACAAAGGGCCAAAAAATTTTATGCCGATTTTCCAGATTGCTGGGGTACTGCATCCCTAATCCCTAGGATGTCAAGGAATAACTGTACATTATTCCCCCTGATACACTCTATGGTTCAATCAAACATTCCATTCCATTTCCTATGTCTCTGTGCCTTTTTAATGACTGACTTCCATGCCAGGAAGGTGTTACTCCCTCACCTCCATGTCTTAGAATCACTAGTTTCCTTCAAAGCTCAGCTCAAGCACTATTCCCTACATGAGACTTTTTCTGATCCCACAGTTGCCAGTGCCTCCCCCAATAAAATTTACCTTGTATTTGCTTTACATGCTGTTTCCTGGATAGTGCAAGTTCTTTGAGAGTAAGGACTGATTCAATTCTATCTTTATTATTTCACCTCTCTCTCCTCACTATCTTCACCTGCAAAATCAGGGGGTTAGAGTGAAGGACTTCTAAGGTCCCTTCCATCTCTATGGTCCCCAGATCATAGAATGCCTAGAAGAGTGTTGTTCAGTCATTTCAGTCATGTCTAACTCTTTATGACCCTATTTGTGATTTGCTTGGCAAAGACACTAGAGTGGTTTGCCATTTCCTCCTCCAGATCATTTTACAGATAAGGGAACTAAAACAAACAGGGTTAAGTGACTTGCCCAGGGTCACATAGCTAGTAAGTATCTAAAGCCAGATTTGAACTCAGGAAGATGAGTCTTCCTGACATCAGACTCAGCACTCTATCCACTGCACAATCTACCTGCCTAGCAGGTACTTAACAAATATTTATTGATTGATCCAATCCCTTCATTTTACAAATGCTTACAAAACTTGATGCCTAGAAAAGTAATGGGATTTGAATCCTGATCATCTCTTGGCTTAAAATCCATTCATCACACCATTGTGCACATCTTTTTCCTCCTTCCCTCCCCAATATAATGTAAGCTCTTTGAGAAATGGGTGTATGTGTTATCTCTTTTTAGATCTTTAGCTCTAAGCACATTGTCTTATCTATCTATCTAGAAAATGCTTGTTAAATTGATTTCATATAAAAATTCAGTTCCTGTGGCTGCTTATTATATTCTGACATATCATATCTTTAATAATTTCTATTGTTCCCCTCTGATAATGATAAATAATAATATAAATAAGATTTGAACTGGAGTTGGACATATTTATGGGTCATCACTTTAATTGTTTTTGCTGCAAGATTTATAAGATCCTATTTCAGACTCTGAAAATTGTCTCATATGTTCCCTTACATAAAAAAGTTAAGTCATTGTCTGTGTTGAATTATATGCATTTCTTTCTCCAGGTTTTTAGAGTGTGGGATATACAAACTCTTTCACTGTTACAAGTTTTCCACGACAGTCAAGGAGGACCAGGGGACATGCAGATCTATGCAGTGATATTTGATTACAACCATGGCATGCTTGTCACAGGTCAGTGTGTTCAGTTAGCTACTGAGGAGGCTCTTTCCCATTTTTAAAAATCTCTTTTACATGAGCTTTTATTTTTATGTATTAGATAAGGAGAAAAACTGGAGAAAGGGTTTGAGAATTAATATTTGGTAGCTTTAACTCATTACAAGTAGATATTTATATCTACTTCCCTGCTCCTTTTCTACAGGTAAGGAATGGGCTAGCAGGTTGGTGGGGTTGGTGGGATGGTGGGTAGACTTGCTTTTCTTTGAAAATGCCCTGGGATATTCATGCTGCACCCCACTCTGGGCTGCAGCAGAGGAGAGGCGTGGATCCTGCTAGCACATCAAAGCAGCCTTCATGCTGTCCACACAGCCGGTTCTACTTCCTCTTTCTGAAGAGGGAGTAATGAGGTTCCTCTCTTAACAGCTGCACAGGCAAGCTGAGCTAACAAGCATTTCGCTTAACAAGTCACTTCTATACCTTCTTTGTGGGTACCCAGGGTAAACACTGGACCATTTTTCTTTCCTTTGCACTTGAGGCCAAAGCCCCATAGCTAATGCAAATAGGCCTTTGGCCTCAGTCTTTTGAGGTTACCGTTGAAGAAACTGAAGCCACACTCAAGAAAGAATAAGAATCCTTTCTATAAAAGGCTGAGCACTATTAGTAAAGATAGGCTTTAATGGTTAACAAATAGTAAGGTTCCTTAATGAAGATTAAATATTCAGTGCATTTCCCCAAGTATTTTTCCCTCTGATCACCAGTTGTGGGTTGCTAGCAGAGAAGTCACTGAAAAATCATTGCCTTCTCAGGCATCACTTGTACTTTGCTGGTGGCAGAGGATGTTTTTCTCACTTCTGTCTTCTCTGAATTTTTAAAGAGATCTTTGTGGAGCCATAGTGATCAACCACTTGCACATAATGCTTGACATCAGCGATAAAAATAGATCATTTTTCACCCCTTGGAAGAAAATTCAGTTCCAGAAAAAGCTCATTACATTTTAAACCAGCTCTCTACTATATCCTCTCCCCTAAAAAATAATACAGTAATAACTGCATGCCATTTTCCTTCTCATTGTGCTAGCCTGCATCTGTTACCACCTAGCTATGCATATCAGGACCATTTAACATCATAGTAGTTAGATTCTCAGGCAGCAGAATATCTGGAGGCAAGGAGTAAGAAAAAAGGTTGCTCTCTCCGTATACAGTTCTGCTAGAATTTACGTGATTTTTTTTTTTTTGCTTGCTGAGAAACAATTGTGAGCATAGCTTAGTAACAACATCAACAACAGTATTTTAAAGTTTACAAGGCACTATTCATACTAGTAGTAAGAAGCAAAGCTGGGATTTACCCAGATCCTCCCACCCAAAATCCAGTACCCCGGCTAAGTGATTTGTCTAATGTCACGTACTTAATTAGCTACAGAGGTAGCTTGAACACAGAAACAAAAAATGAGTTCTTTGTGGATTTGAATTCCCATTTCTGCAGCTCATTGCATGACTTGAAGACAAGCCAAACACCTAAACTCAGTTTCCAAATGGAGAATCTAACCTAATTCACTGAAATAATTTGGAAATAAATTTTATTTAGCACTGGCATAATGCTTTATAATGTTCCACTGCTTTAGACTCATCATGATTAGTTATAGTTAGTAAGATCATGTTTTAAGAGTCCTTAAGAAAGTCTTTTATAAATACTAATTCCATTCACCGAATGAAAGCTTCCATACAGCAGAGTTGACAGTCACCATTTATACTTTGCATTAACATGAGGAAAAGAAGGCAACACAATACCAGAAAGGTAAAAAATAAACCAACAGGCAAACAGGATTGAGTGAACAAGGAAAAATTAATGAGGCCAAAATGGATTGTTTTTCTCTGTTTAAACCATGTTCACCTCATTTGTCAGAAATTCCTTAAAGGTAATAAATTCCATTTAAGCTTCATTTTTTAAAAAAAGTATTAATAATAACAATCTCACTGATTGGCTATTTTTAACCACAGTCCTATGTGGTTTCATGTCACAATTTCCCTCCTAGTTCCCTTCTTACTTCTCTGACTACTCCTTCACTCCCCATCAGTCACTAAACACCCTGAGTGGGTCCTTCACGGCTCTGTTTTTGGCCCTCTCTATGAGTTCCCTACAAAGCTCGCAGGGCTGCAAATATCAGCTTTATACATAACTCTCAGACAAACACTGTCAAGTCTGATTTCTCCCTAGAACTACATTTCCAATTGCCTATTAGTCTTCATTTAGATGGCCCACTGACATCCTAAACTCATCTGAAATACTCAATATCTTCTATCCAAAACCTTCCTCTCCTTGTAACTTCCTATCTCTGTTGATGGCCTCATCACCTCCCAGTCAACTTGGCTTAAAATTTCAGTTATCTCTGACATCTCTCTTCCTCAATACTGACATCTAGTCAGATACTAAATACTCTAGATTCCTCCTCCATAATATCTCTCCCATCCACCCCTTTCTTTCATCTCTCTCTACCATCAAGTATGTTCCTTATTCCTCCCTACTGTACAAATGTAAGTTTCCCAAATCACCTTGCTGTCTCTAGTTTCTACTTTCTCCATTTATCTTCAACATTCATGCTGATGTAATCTTCCTAATATACCAGCTGGATCACAGCATTACTTTGCTTAAAACCTTGTTATTCCCCATTATTCACAAATAAAATAGAAAGTCTGCATCCTGACATCCTTCTACAATCTGTCTCTCCCTATCTGACCTGCTTTATCTCATACCCCTTCCCTTTGTATAGTTTCAATTCTAGTCAGAAAAGACTATTTATCAACCCTTATTATTGTTCCTTTCTCCACTACCTTTCTGCTTTTCCTCACATCAGCATCCTTTAGCTGGAAGTACTCTTTCCCTCCTTAAATTTCTCTCATTTTGTTTGAACCTTCCCTTTGTGTGTCTTCCATTGTACCTTGCCTCATGGTTGTTTGCATATGTGTTCATCCTTCACTATTAAGTTGTAAGCTTCCTGGGGAGAGAAATTTTATCTTATTTTATGTTTGCATTTCTACCACCTAAGAATGTGTTACACATAGTAGATACTTTAAAATAGTTTTTAAAAAATATTTATTAAATTTATTGTTTTGTTTTATTAAATTTATTGTCATTAAATTTTATTTTACTAAAATATTAATTTTTTCCTCTTTCCATACCAGGATCTAGTGTTATTGACATGTATCCTTTGACTCGGATGATACAAGACACAAAACAGATCCCACATAGTCATGATCAAGACATCAATGTCATGGTTTATAACAGAACTTTTCACCAATTGCTCACTATTTGCTCTGAATCTATCATCAAAGTAAGTACAAATTAGGTTCTTCAAACAAAAAGAAAGGGCAAACCAAGAGGAAATTTCTTTTCCCACAGAAAAATTATAGAATAACTTGGCAGGAGTAGTAGTGTTAATGATATAAGCCTGCATTTCTGGAACTGTTTTTGTTCTTTTGTATTTCCAAAGAGAATGGATAATCTATGAAAAGCAGACCTCTCCAGTCTGAGTAGCATGGTGACTCCTGTCAGTACATTGGAATGGGTCAATGCAATTTTTGTCTACCACAATAGGTAGTTCAAATGAATAAATTAAAGATGAGGAACTGGTCTACACTTTGAACTTATTTCTTACAAATTGACTTTGTCACTGCCCTCATATTTCTTAGATGCATTATTTGCACATGAAAATTCAATTTATGATTAGGATGACTGATGTTGTTTGATAATCACAGCAACAAAATTTTGTTCCAAGTGTGGCAGGGCTTTTAGTTTTATGGAAAAAGTCAAAGATGCATTCCATGTTACTCCATGAGCATTTAAAAAATGGAGACTGATGTTGTGGAATAATGAATTATTTATGTGACCTAGGAAGATTTCATCTCTCTTATGTTTGTTTCTGAATCTGAATACTTCTCTGTATGAGATGGATAGAACTTGAAATAGCCTTTGTAAATATATTATATAGACTTCTAACATCTTGTGGGAGTCATTTCTGAGAATGGGGGGCAGGGGACCACAAAGCATATTAATGTGATTCCTCCACATACTGCCTTCATAAGGGCATTCCTAAGCCCCTGTTGGCTTTTAAGCGTTTGGGAGAGGCAGTAGTGTTCAATCCATTTCATTAAACATTTATTAGGAGTGGGAAGAGGCAGAATAGGGTAGCAGGAAAATTCTGTGTTGAAAGTCAGGAGGCCTAGATAAAAATCTGGATTCCAACACTTGCTACCTATTTTGACAATGGTCCAGGCTTTCATCCTCCCTGAATTCAGTTTCTCTTTGTGTGAAATGGAGATGATAACATTTATACTGTTTTACAGGGTTTTAAGGAGTCCAGTCAGTCAACCCTCATTTATTAAGTACCTACTATGTATCAGGCACTGTGTTAAGCACTGGTAAGGTTGACCTTAATGTGTTGTATAAGTCTAAGTTATGATTACTTGCCTTTCGAGTTTGAAATGCTGGAGATTTACTAGAACTAAACTGTTTACAGAGTTCAGACAATTTCTCCATGTATCTGGTCATCTCCTAAGGCTGCCTATACATGCCCTCAGACAACTTCTAGGTAGCATTGGCATCTCAATAGGAAAGGATGATAGAGCTTGAGTTGAAAAGGGCTTCAAAGGTCATCTAGTCCAACCCCTTCATTATACAGATGAGAAAGCTGAGGCCTGGGGAGTTTAAGTTATTTGCTCAAGGTTACACCAGTAGTTTGTATCAGAGACAAAGAGGTCTTTTACTGGGAAAAACAAGGAAACATCCCATCCTAAGTTGTCATCACTTAAGGGGTTGCAAGGTGATAATCTTTAAGGCAAAAATGGATGCCCACTGAGAACAGAGTTACTCCAAGTATAACTCTGGTAGGAAAGCTTGGGTTAGGCCAGTATAACTGAGGCACTGCTTCAATAAGTAGTTTCATTTTGTAATCCATGCTCCCTGCAAGGCGTCATATATCACATTACTACTGCTGCCTTTACTATTACAACATGCAGTCTGGCCCTATTCCTACCAAGTAGTTCTTTAGATGGCCATGCGTCTAGTCTCCTGGAGCTCTTAAAAACTAGAAAGGGAGAAGTGAATGAGCTAAGGATTCTATAAATGAAGGAGGTTTTCTCCCTATAATCAGCAGGTAACATTTATCACCACCCAAAGATTATTTAGAGTTTCACAGCTCTGATTTCCAAAATCCCTTTAGAATGCTCTCATTGAGCAGTGTGAGAAATGTCTATATTACCCTTTGGCAGCATATAAACTATGGAGAAGGGGGCCTTAGAGGTCACGTATGTCAACAGCTCCATTTAAAAGATGAAGAAAGTGAGACCCAGTGAGGTTAAATGATTTGCCCAAAGTCACATAGGTAGTATAAGTGGCAAAGCTGGCTTTTATCTCAGGCCCTCTGATTCAAAATCCAGAGTCCTTCCTCCTGCACCATGAATGAACCACATTGAAAATCAAGTAATATAAAACCAGAATAATGATCTCAGAAGTCCCTAAAATTTCCCTAAATACTCTGAAAACTGTGAATTACAAATAGGAATTGTCCCCAGTTCTATTATAGAGTGATAGTTCAATTTGAAACCAATTAGGAAGGAGGATAATACAGATTGCAAACTTCATCAGGGTATGTAAGGATCAACTGGAATACATGAAAAGTGCTTCAACCTTCTTGGAGACAGGTGTTATAAAAAAAATTACCTTATTATTTATCTCTTTTCAAAATAACCAAACCTTTACTGTCTAAGGCTTTAGAGGAAATACCTATCTAATCAACCTGGATGTAATTAGCAAAATCAGAAATTATGTCCATCTGTCCTAGCACTTATCTCTTGACACATTAAGGAAACAGAGTGAAGACTTCAAATCTGTAGTCATTACCTATATCCTCTCTCTGCCCCTTCTACCTTTTGTAGAAAACGAGGTTTTGACATGACTTCCAATTACTTTCCTTTATGCCTCTTTGAACATGATGAGTTACTGGTGTTTTACTTCCATTTAACAAGCATTTATTCATGATGGCTCACACCTATAATCCCTGCTGTTAGGGAGCCAGGTATATTGCTTGAAGCTGCAGTAGCTGGAGCGAATCAGCTGTCCGTAGTAAGTCTAGCACCACTATGGTGTATTCCAGGGAGTCAAAGGCTAGGTCTGCCTAAGGAGGAACAAACTGCTTCAGATTTGAGACGGAGCAGGTCCTGTGCCACATGTCTGTGTCAGTCACCAGTGAGATCAACACCATGACTGGCTGATACACTTCCAACTTAGGTGAGGTGATGGAGACCCAGTCTTAAAAAACAAACATAAAAACAAAAACAAAACAACAAAAAATAAAAATAAATGCCCACCATATGGAAAACACAGGGTTAGGTTCCAGGATATAATGACCAATACAAAAATCTTTGCCCTTAAAGGGCATAAATTTTAATGAAAGTAGGAAAATGTGGGTGCAAAGCATGATGGAACCTTCAGAAATTACCACAAATAACAAAGCTTTCTTTTAAGAGCACCTCCTTTCTAAGAATCTCAGAGTAGAATCATAGCATATTAGAGCCAGAAGAGATCATAGCTAATCTAAATTCTTCATTTTACACTAAAGTTAAGTGACTTGCCAAAAGTAATAGTTGCAAACTGAGAAGAGTGATAACAGATAATGTTTGCAGAGCAATATACATACAACATCTCACTGGAGCTTCACAACAACATAAATCATTTCATTAGAGCCTCAAAATAACTGAAGCAAATACTGCAGTTATCACTATCTCCATTTTGTAGATGAGGAAACTGAGGCTCAGAGAGGGTGGGACTTGCCTTTGGTTACACAAGAGGAAAGACAATATTCGAATCTAGGCCTTACTGACTGTAAGTCCAGCACTCATAGGTGAAATGATTTGCAGAAGGTCATAACGCTGACAGAGCCCAGACCAGGATCCACATCCAGGTCTTTTGAGGTGGCAGTGTGGGACAGTGGAAAGAGCACTAGTTCAACAGTCAAAGGGTCTAGGTTCAAATCTTTCCTCTGATGCTTACTATCTCTCATTTAACCTCCCTGAGCTTTAATTTCTTCATCTGTAAAATGAGAGAGTTTGGTTAGATGATCTCAGAGGTCCCTACCAGCACTAGTTTGAATGCTAAAATAAAGGGGCATTGTCATGAAACTTTGTTAATTAAATTTATATGCAAAAGCACAAGGGAAAGAGCTCTGGATTTGCTAAGGGTCTTTGTTCAAATCCTGGCTTTGCTATTTACTATTTGCATAATCTTAGTTGAGTCCTTGACTTCTCTGGACCTCAGTTTCCCATCTATAAGATCAGGTGGCTCGACTAGATGACATTTAAGGTTCCTTCCTGCTCTATATATGTGATTCTAAAATTCTAAGTTTCAGAATTGAGTAATTTCATTTCAAACAAAACTCAAATCCTAATACCATAACTATTATTAAAAAACCAGAAGTTTTTGCTAAAGAATTTGAATTCTGGCTTCAATGAGGAAATGAATTCTTAAAAGCAAATTGCATTCTGACAAAACTAACAATCTTGTTTCTCCCCAAATCCCCTTTTAATAATACTGTAGAAAAATTCAAGAAATTAAATACTTATAGACATCTCCAAACACAGTTCAGTCGTGTCTGAATGCATATAAGTAACAAATAGAGGAAAAAATTGGTAATTTCCAATTTTCTTTGAAACATGTAATATTTCTGTTTGCAATTATAAATAATCATGCACATATGTATAATACTTTTCAGTTTACCAAATACATTCCTCATTATAACCCAATGGTGTAGGCAGTCCAGGAATCATTATCTCCATTTTGCTGATAAGGAAATGAAGCAGAACTCAAGGGGTCTTTTGACTCTCAGTCTAAGATACTTTCTAACATGGGATGCTGCTAATTACTTATGGATTCCTCCAAAGGAGAAATAAAGAATGTTGAAATATAAATAAGGCTAAGATTAAAAACAAGTACTACTTGATTTCTTAGAAACTTAGATAATAAGAAGAAAATGATTTTTAGAATACAATAAAATCATCTCACTAAGTGGCATTTGTGATAATTCACATGTATATGGACATTACTCTTATTTGTAAGAAATTCAAAGTTTTATTTCTTATTTCCTTCTTCTCTGACTGTCTAAGGTCTCATAAATATATACAATTCAGTATAAAATCAATAGCTTTTTCAAAATAAAGAGTCAGGATGTCACCTATGGGCCAGCCAGGACTAGCCTTGGGTTCTTGTTTAGGGTGGGGTGAGGGAGGGGATACTTCCTAGTAAGTATACCCAGTACACTTATACCAGTATGAAATTGGGAACCTCTAAAGTCAACTTCAATCTAGGTACTCAGACTAACAGAATCAGCCACAGCATTTGATTGGAACTAAAAAAAAAAACCAAAAAACTTTTTTGAAATTAGAAAACTCAGTAACCATTCCACAAATGAATGCATTCCCACTCTCTTCTTCCCTAGCATAATATGGAAAAGAAGTTTCCCCAATCCAAGTTTCCACCAATAAACTGAAGAAAGCAGAGCAATGCCTTGGCAGCCATAAGCCCTACTATTTGTAACTACCAGCCATCACTTTATCCTGGGCTCTTCAACTCTCTTCCTGCCACTAGATGGAAATAGAAGTCTCCCTAGCTCTGCTTTTGCCTTACATCTTATTAAGTAGCCCAGAAGTCATTCCTTCTTTCTGCTCCAATTTGTCTCTCTACCCTTAGTAGCCTAGGACTTCCAGATTGCTATGTTTTATCCTCTATGAAACTCTTCTGGGTTCTTTCTTCATCCTTTTCATTTTTTCTTAGATTTCTATGTCTTCTCCAAAATGAAATATCCCCTGTGCCCTGGCACTGGTCTCTCCTGGGAAATGAGGTTCTGGTTTTGTGTCTGCTAAATAGAATGCCACCACCTAAAGGCTGGCTGTGGTACTGGACTTTGATGACTCTGGAGGAAAGTAAGGTGCAGCTCTGCCTCACTTAAATCCAATTCACTCAAAAGTCAAGGCATCACCCTCATGATGTCATTGGTCCTCTTTGAGAATGAAGGATGAACAAAAAAAAAAACAAAACAAAACCCAACGAAACAAAAACAACCCCCCTTTACAAAGAAATTATAATTCCTCCTAACAGCCCTTCAATTTGCAGATCTAGCAGATACTTCACAATGGTTATGTTGTCAGGGCAAAATGTTTTGGGTCTCTAGGGTCTGCTCACCTTGCTGGGGTCACTGAGTTCAGGATTAGGCACCTTGGTCCTGTTTACCTATAAACTTAGGGATTGGTTCATTCAATCTCTAGCAAACCTGACTCACAGGATAAAATATTAGGATTAAAAGATACTTTAGAGGTTATCTAGTCCAACCTCCTCATTTTGTGAATGAAAAACTTCAAAGAAATTAAATTATTTGTGTAAGATCACATAGCTAATGGAAGTACTAGGAGTAGAGCCCTAGTACCCGATTCACAATCAAGGTCACTGGTGATCTCTTTATTGCTAAGTCCAAAGGCCCTTTCTTAAGACGTTGTTATTCTTGACCCTTCTGCAACATTTGACACTACTGACCACTGCTTCCTCCTGAAAACTTTTTCCTCCCTGAGTTATTATAATACATCTCTCTCCTGGTTCTCTATTCATTTGTTTGCCTATTCCTTCTCATTCTCCTTTGCGTGTCCTGACTTTTAACCGTGGATATGTTCCAGGGTTCTGTCCTTTGCCCCATTCTCTTCTCTCAGTGATCTCATCAACTCCCATGGGCTCAACTGACATTCTTACGCAGATGAAACCTGAATATTTGGGAAAAGGGAACCCTTATCTCTCTTCTAACTGCAGTTTTGAAACAACTATTTGCTGGGCATTTTCAACTAGATGACCTATAGGCATCTAAAATTCAACATGTCCAAAATAGAACTTGCTACCCTTACTCTTTAACCTAACCTTCTCCTCACTTTTTCTGTTTCTATTGAACACACCACTATTCTTTCAGAAACTCAAGATTGCAACATTGGAGACACCCTTCTTTCTCTCTCAACCTCTGTGGAGATACACTAGGGCACATGCTCCTGTAGGTGCTAAAGCCTCAACTACTGAAGATCTGAAAAAGAAAGTTCTTGTCATTGTCGCTTGTCACTGTCAAATTGATTCAACATGGGAAACTGATAACATTTTGTCAGTGGAAATGATACTAAAGACAAGGCATTAACATCTGCTTTGCCACTGCACCCTAAAGACTTCTCCATCTGACTTCCTCCTAAAACCTTTTATATTCGTTTTCTCTCCAATCAGAACATGAACCCTTTGAGAACAGGGATTGTTTTGTTTTTCAGTTTGTATCCCCAGTGCTTTGCATATACTAAGTACTTAATATGCCTCATTCATTTATTCATTCGTTCTCTCCCTCATCTTCCCTCCCCAAATCCAATCAGTTGCTCAGTGTAGAAATTCTACCTTCAAAAGATCTCTCACATGTGTCCTCTTCTTGCCACTTGTAAGACCACCAGCCTAATTCAGCCTCTTACCACCTCTAGCTTGGGCTATTGTAATAGTCTCCTAACTGACTTTCCTCACCCGGTCTCCTTCTACAATCCTCCTCCATACAGCTGCCAAATATGTTCCTAAAATGTAAATCTGACTTTATTAAACCTCCCCCCCCCACCACTCAAGAAGCGTTAGTGGCTTCATATTGACTCTAACCCTTAATACAAACTCCTCTATTTGTCATTTAAAGCCTTTCATAATCTGTCTTCAACTTGTCCTTCTAGGCTCATCACTCGTTACTTCTCCTCCCATGCTCTCTGTGTTCAGCAAAACCGGACTATTTAATACATGTATTTGATTTTCCATCTTTACACAGACTGTCCGCTATTCCTGGAATTCTCTCCATCTTCATTTCTTTCTCTTGGAACCGTTAGCCTCCTTTCAATATCCAGACCAAAGTCTACTTCCTACAAAAAACATTTTCCGTTTTCCTTAGTTGTTATTCCTACTCCCCACCCCCGATACATGTATTTGTTGTGTGTATATTTTATATCGATACATATTGTTTCCTATCAGTAAAATATCAACTCCTTTAAGTGAGAATCTGTTTTCACTTTTGTTTTTGAATCCCTATCACCTACATCGAGCACAGTGTTCAGCATATAGGGACTTTTAAAAATGGATGGAATTAAATATCCACGATACCATATTGGCTTATGCTACAACTCATGTGACACTGAAACATATCAGAAAGCAATTCAGAACTAGATATGATCATCTACATGGACTTTCAATCCTATCTTGGGTTAGTAAGCCAATTTAGGAAATATAATTGTATATAGCTCAGAAAACTACTTGGTAAATAGAGAATAAAAGCTAAGTAAATTGAGTCTAGACTTTCCTTTCCCATTCACCCCCAATCTCCATCAAACCTTGGTAGCTCATGAATTAACCTCTGCTTTAGAGATAAATCTGCCTAAAGAAGATTGTCACTTAAAGTTGGAGTTGCTCCTTTCTTGGACACAAGGCCAATAATCTTTGTTTCTAACTCTCATTTTTCTAGATTTTATGCTAGTGTGTGCCCCATGTAGTAGAAGGAAGGTGGGCCTGGGACTCTGGAGAGTCATATTCTAGTTTTTGCTCCACTATTAGCTATGTGACATTGAACAAGTCATTTGACCTGTCTAGTATTCCCACCTATAAAACAAAGTGTTGAACTAAATGATCTGAAAGTTTCCTTCAAGGTCTAAGATTCTTTATTCATTTCTAGTACTATTCTAGCATGCTTTATAGTGATTGTACATGTGTCTAGTTCAATTCTTACAGTCTGACCTAAGCCTGATTATCTTTTGCCCTATTGGTTACCTTGGTTTAGGTCCATAGTGCCTAAACAATGTCCTACTTAATACCCAAATCAGTAGCTACTTTATGATGGACAGAATCACTGCCATAGATATCTATGCATATTGCTTACCCAGCCAAAGGCTACTAGATTGATAACTAGACCACACAACATCTTTAACAGTTTTCTTTTTTCATGGAAACAATCTTGATGATGGAGTATCAGGTGTGTATAATAGCTAGCAAATAGAACATGCTTTGAATATTATCAAATGTTCTCATATGAACTAAAGGACAAATTGATCATTTGACTTCTCTCTGTTAGGTATGGGAACTAGAGACAGGACACCAAATATATCAGATTTTTGATCCCCATGGGAGCAGCATTGAAGTAACAACTGCTGCTATTGATAAAAGTGGATTTGTTCTTGCTACAGGGGCATACAATGGTAAGACTTATCTCTTGAGGAATGTTCCTGCCTGTGTTAGCCCCCTGGAGATCTGCATTCAGTAGGGCTGAAGAATTAGTTAGTTTTTGGTGGGTTGGTGTGTTGAGGGAAGAGCAGGTTTGAGTAGGAAAGCATGATGCTAACATCAGTTTCACTTTGATGACCTTGACATCACTAAGTCCACATCCTCAGTCTTTGGTATTACTATATTTATAGGCCTTGATATGGATTATAGAAATGCCTCTTTCCTTGGTTTGCTCTACCCCTGCTGTTTTTTGTTGTTTTGTTTAGTCATTTTCAGTTACATCTGTCTCTGTCACCCCATTTTGGGGTTTTCTTGGCAAAAGATACTAGAATTGTTAGCCATTTCCTTCTCCCACTAATTTTACAGATGAAGAGACTAAGGCAAACAGGGTTAAGAGCTTTGCCCAGGGGCACATGGCTAATAAGTGTCTGAGGCTGGATTTGAACTCAGGAAGATGAGTTTTCCTGACTCCAGGCTCACACTCTATCTGCTGCACCACTTAGCTGCCCAATCACTTAGCTGCCCAATACTCCTGTACCACATGGTATAAAAGGGTATAGGACTCAGTTAACATCCTAACCCTAGCTAGTTATTCTTTTTACTAAAAATGCTTCCTGGAACCTGGCAAAGTATCCAGCTCATTTAGATCTAGTCCATTCATTATTTGACTTCTTTGAGGTGAAGAAACAGCCACTATAGATTTCAGTAACAGGAGAAAGGAAGAGGACAGAAAAGACAGAAATTAGGAAAGGACTGAACTTTGAGAAGATCAAACCAGTACAAGAAAGTGCTGCCACGGTGTCCCACATTTAGGAGCATAGCATCATAGATTTAGAGCTAGAAGGGATTGTAGAGATAATCTAGTCCATTCCCCTCATTTTCCAGATGAGGAAACTGAGGACAGAGAGTTTGAATGACTTGCTTCAGGTCACATTATTAGTGAGTATCAGAGTCAGATATTGGCTCCCTTGTTATGTTTACAATAAAGCCTTACATAAGGGTAGTATTTTACATATTACAAAAAGCCTTAGGGCTGCAGAATAAAATCATTAAAGTTGAAAAGGCCCTGAAAAAATAAGCCTGGGACAAACAGGAGTAGATATTATATCTATATATTGTTTACCATCCTAAACCTTTTCCAGACTACTATTGAATCCAGTATAGCCCTCACTTCCTTGCTCTCTCTGTTCCATTGAACTTGAACCTGATACCTCAAGTCTCCTGGGCATCAAAGGAATTCAGATAGTAGAAACCCTTGGTTAGGTCACTGTGGTTTGTCCAGGGGTGAGGAACTTGAGGCCTTGAGGCCATATGTGGCCACCTGCATCCTCAAGTGTGGCCCTTTGACTGAATCCAAACTTCACAGAACAAATCCCCTTAATAAAAGGATCTGTTCTGTAAAACTTAGTAATGACTAATGATAGTCAAAAGGTTGAACCCAAGGATCTCAAGAGCTACGTGTGGCCTGGAGGTCACAGGTTCCCCAGCCCTGGCTAGACAAATGGTAAGTAACAGTAAGATCACTGCACCGTGGGAGTGGACCAATTGACCAGTGGAGACTCAGGTGAGGAATGGGAGCACAGGGTTAAAAAATGGGGAGGAAATAGGTAAGGATGGACTCTTCATCACAGGCAACTGAAAATATTAGACTAGAGAGATGACAGGAAGGAACTTTTTTGGCGAGAGGGGATAGAGAAAGGGAAAAGAGAGACCCTTGCTAGTAGTATGAACTGGAAGACAAGCTTAGGGGTCTCCAAGAATCCGTTGGCAGAAGTCAATAATACAGGATAAGTTCCTCTATAACCCTTAGCTCCCAAGCTCATAGTCTAAGGATGGAGAAGAAAAAGAAAACAATAACTGACTCTTACCACTTTAGAATAACGTCCTTCTCTCTACACATTCTAAAATAACTAAATTAGGTTAACTTTCTAAGCCAGACTTACACTAGACTAAATTCCACATTTGGGGGATACCCCACAACTATTTCTGGAACCCCATTAAGCCTACATTTAGAACTTGTACCTATGTCTCCCCTCCCAATTTCTCTACCTGATTTCTGATTTCAGAAAGTCCTTTAAAAAAAATCTTTCATTCCTGATTTAGAGGTGAGGTTAAAAAATACAAATAGCCTGGGAGTCATAAAGCATTGTCATGAATGAGTTTGCAGTCAAAGTGTGTAGAATATAAAGGAGGCTTTTTCTCTTTTGCATGGCTAAAATGGTTAGGAAACAAGAGAGGAATAGTTAAAGCTGAGGAGAGAAATCCTTTCACCTAGGGTAAAAATAATGGGAGGGAGACAGTAATTCAACAGTAGGCACAGTTGTGCCATGAGAAGGAGTGACCTATCCCTCAGAAAGTCATGCCTGTACCCACATGGCATTGGGTTGGTTATAAGGTAGAGCCCAGGAAAAGTATCACATTTGATGGGAGGTGAGATGCTGAAGCTGGGCAAAGGAGTAAGTTGCACCACATGGTGCAATCTGACAAAGGTCTGTGAGACAAGATGCAGGGATGGCAATTTGCAGACTACTTGGAGAGGATGTATACTCTCTCTGCCCAGGAGGAAATGAGCCCCTTTATACTCCAGGGCACTAGGGCCAAGCATTAATTGGTCTGGGATAAATGAAGCCACTGATAAGGAGAGAGAAAAGGTTACAGAAAGAGGAAACTAGAGATTTCTAAGAGAGTGTGTGTGTGTGTGTGTGTGTGTGTGTGTGTGTGTGTGTGCGCGCTCGTGTGTGTGACTGTATAATTTTGTCTAGGGCTAATCTTGTTTATTGTTACAAGGGGTGAATTCAAGGTTTGAACTTCTGTTTATCTTAATGTATAGACATATTCACAGAGAGTCCACAGCTTCGTAGAAAAATGCCTTGTTCTGTTGCTGTCTAGAAGCTCTCAGATTATTCTTTTCTGAGAAAATATCTATTAATCATTTTTTTCTCCTCTTATTCAGGCACACTTAAACTCTGGGATTTTGGAAGTGGGCAGGAAATGAAAGTGTTGGTTGAAAGGAAAGACTGGAAAGAGGGTGATCATTGGTTGCACCAGCTAACCTTCCTACTGACTAATGAAAAAAATCACTTCCTGATTCTAGCCTTGGAGTACAATGGAAGGATCAAACTTGTCCAGGTTTTCCATTTCGTCTTTTAATTTGCTTTCTGGCTTCTCTACTCTATGAAGCTCATGTAGGCTTTATTAGTGTCTTTAAGTGGTTCATCTGTATTTTTAACCACAGCTGGGCTATTTTTTCTCTCTAAGTTTGCCAGGATGCTACTCACTGCCCTTCCCTTTGGCTTTCTTTGTATATTTATTGTCTCATGGAGAGAATGGCTGCCCAGCCACCAGCAGCAGCCTGCCCTTAGCTGCCAGCAAAGGAGATTTATTAAACTACTTCAGTCAGATGGCCAAATCCTTGCTAAGAGCTGAGCTGGGCTCTCTGACCAAGAGTACACAGAAGCTGCTTGTATCTGGAATGCTACCCAAGACCTTTTTAGGATTAGTCATTGGAGGAGTAGATCATACAAAGTCTCTGATTGTATATAAGACCCAGAGAGAGAGCCTATGCCTTTTCAGTGAGAATAAAGTCACCCTGTATTCAAAATAACTTTGCTTTGAAGTTCAGGGCCCAATGGATTCAGTTTGAAGCTTCCTGTAGTGGACAGAACACTGGACCTGTTTTTGGACCTCACCTGACACATAGCTGGGTGTTCCTGGACCCTTTGAGCCTCAGTTCTTTCATCTAGAAAATGGGGATTATAATATCACTTACCTAACAGGGTTGTTGTGAGGATCAAATATGATAATGTATGTAAAGTGTTTTCCAAACCACAATGTAAGCTATTATTGGAAGGCTTAGGCAAGCCTGTTTGTTTTTCTTGTGTGTCCACTACCACCTAGGAATGCTAATGCCTTCCTCATATACCTAATTAAAGATAGACCATTTATCCTTACTACTGAATGGCTCTGTTCTCCTTGTCTGGAACTATAGAATTTATTGCTCCTCTTTCAGAAGAACTAAAATCAGAAATAATTTCTGACTTGAATAAGAAAGGAATTATGAAACCTTAACAAAAATTAAGAAAACAGATAGGCCTGCTCCTAGAGAGGTAGAATCAAAAGTTTCTCCCATTTCCATCTACTCTCCCCTTATTGTCCTGAGGAGCACAGAAGGGCACTTTGTAAAGGGACTTTCAAGGGCACAAAGAACTGTTGATTACTTTTGCAAGTTAACAGTATAAAATCGTGTCATAAATGCTTTCCTTAATAATTTATATTTCTCATTTTAAAATATTCTTTTTTAAGTTCTAGGGAGAACTGAGACACAGTCCTATATATAAATTTCTTGGGGTTACTTTTGGGACAGGGAACAGTTCTTCTTTTTTAATGTTTGTTTAATGTCTATAGTTTTAAGTGGGCCATTTCAACTTCACAACCACTCTATTGAATTAGGCAAATGCAAACGTATCTAAAGTAATCTTTGTTCTTTTCTGAAACAAGCTACAACACAGCTACGTTCCCACCTTAATAAGCTATATGAGAGTCCAATCTTAGAAAACATAAAGTCAACAAATTTAAAGTTAGGGAACTCATCTAATCTAACTCTCATCCTCATTTTAAAGATAAAGAAAGACAACTCCAGAAAGTTAAGAGTTGCAGAAGGTCATATAGCTGATATGTACCAGAGGTAGAATTTGAACCTAGATTTTCTGGATCCAAATCCAGTGCATTTTCCATTACAGAACAGTTTGATTAGGATGTGTCTGTTCACTTTACAGAAGGCTGTTTACTGCAACATTCCTTTATACAGAGGACTGCTATAGTGCATTTAAAATTTGATTTGATTTACACATTCTTTTCCTACAATACTACTTTTGGGTAAAGTGAGGTACATTGATAAAAGTTAACTAGCGTACATATTGGTAGCACAGTATAGTGGAAAGAGGATTGGATCTGGAGTCAAGAGGACCTGCGTTCTAATTCAGACTCTACTATTTATTTTATGTGTCTTTGGGTCAGGCATTAGAGATACCAAGGTCATTGACTGCATCCTGGGCTATCACCTGACTTTTGTCTTGCCTGTAGATTTTGATGACTTTATAAGAAAGAGTGAGGCTGATGACTTTGTGTAACTGTGCATATTACTCCATGATGTTGCTTGTCTGCTTCAAAAACAAAGGACAAACAACAACAATAAACTTTGGGAAAGTCAGCATGTCTCTGGACTTCGGTCTTCTCTTTTGTAAAATAAGGAATCTGGACCATCTATACAGCCTCTAAGGTCCTTCCATCTCTATAGGCTGTAATCTAGGCGAGAGATTATGGATATCCTGATCCTTGTTAGTCCATAACCTCTTTATTGTTGTTGTTGTTATTGTTCAGCCATATCTGACTCTTCATGACCCTATTTAGGGTTTTCTTGGAAAAGACATTAGATTAGTTTACTTCTTTCTCCAGTTCATTTTTCAGATGAAAAAACTGAGGCAAAGAGGGTTAAGTGACTTGTCCACAGTCACACAGCTAGTGAATGTCTGAGGCTGGATTTGAACTCAGGTCTTCCTGACTGTAGGCCCAGTGCTGTGTATACTGCTAATCAACTGCCCTTAACTTCATCTTTGCAGTCAAAATGAGAGTTCATACTTCAGAGCTAGTTTCCTTTTGAATCATACATATATAACCTTCTGCCCTTAAGCTTCAACCTCTCCTTTATTTCTTGATATATAAAATATAATTCTTAGAATTGTCTAAGACAGGGGTGGGGAACCTGTAGCCTCAAGGCCACATGTGGTCCTCAAAAGTGGCCCTTTGACTGAATCTAAACTTCACAGAATAATTCACCTTAATAAAAGGATTTGTTTGAAACACTTGGGCTCAGTCAAAAGGCCATACCCAAGGACCTAGTAGGCCACATGTGGCCTTGAAGCTGCAGATTCCCCACCCCTGGTGTAAGAGATAGTAGTTGCTAGGGTTCCCCCTCCCCTTTTCCTAGCCTTGAAATTTGATTTGGCCTATGAGTCATTTAAGGCATAAAACCAATCTATCTCTGCTGTATATTTTTCTTCTGATTTAAGTGACTGTATCTATCAAATTGATGTAGCCTAATCTGTGAGCCACCTTAAAGCAGTAGAACTTTTGTTTTTTCTTTGCCTCTTACATATGTGCATATGCATATATATGCATAGAAATATTAAATTTAATTAATTTAATCATTTATTAATAACCCATGTACAGGCCACTGTGCTAGGTCCTAGAGGTACAAAGATAAAATAAAATATTAACCTTTATCTCCAGGAGTTTATATTTTAATAGAAAGGAATGGAGTAGCATGAGGATAATTTTAATGCAAGGCAAATTCTCAGTACAAAGGAAAGGTCCAAACAAAATGCTCTGAGAGTCTGGAAGGAGGTAGACTGAGAGTCAGGAAGAATTCATGGAAGAAGTAGAACCTCAGATGGCACCTGAAGAAAAAGAAGGAAGGGATTTCAACAGGCAGAGCTGTGGAGAGGAAGGAATGGAAGGCATTTTAGCAGGTAGAATGATGTAAATAAAGGCCCATCAATAAGAATTCAAGAAAGTGACAAGTCCAACAATCACAGCAATAAAAAATTATTAAATATCTACTGTAAGCACAATACTAGTTTAGTCCCTGGGGGAGAAGCAAAGTTTATATAAAAAACACTAACTTTGCCCTCATGGAACTTATGGTCAAACTAGTTGGAATGTAGTGTATCTAAAGAGGAACAGTATGAGATACGATAGGCAGGTTGGAGTCACAGTTTGGAAGGCTTTGAAAGTCAAGATAAAAAATGTATCCTTTATTCAATAGGCATGAAGAATCACTAAAGATTTTTAGCAGAGGAGTGCTATGGTCAGAAAGGTGCATTATGAAAATTACTTTGGCAATGTTTGTGTGAAGGATTGATTAGAGAATGAAAAGAATGGAAGCCAGAAGATCAGTCGAGGGGAAATTGTTGCAAGAGGCCAGAGGGTAGTTGAATTAGGGTAGTTTGGATTCATAGTGCAAAGGAAGGAAGGAATGCAAGAGGTATTTTGAAAATAGAGTAAATAGGACTTAGAAACTGAATTTTGGGGGTGAGGCAGAGCCAAGAGTCAAAAATAACTCAAATGTTTTAAACTTGGATTACTTAAAGTATGGAGGTACTATAAACAGAAATAAAGATGGTAGGAGAAAAAATAGGTTTTATACAGAAAATGATGAAATCTGTTTTGCACATGTTGAGTCTGAGGTATCAGCTGGATATACTAAATAGTAGAGGTTCTTAACTTGGGGTTTGTGAACTTTTTAAAAAAAAATTTTGATTTTTAAAAATATAATTGGTTTCTTTTGTAATCCTATGTATTTTATTTGTCGCACTTTAAAGCACCATTTTAAGGAGACTCATAGGCTTCATCCATAGGATTCATCAGATTACCAAAGTAGTCCATGGCACAATAAAAAGGTTAAGAACCTCTGCCCTAATTGGAACATCTAGCAGGAAAGCAGAATTATGGTATAGAATCTGGGGAAGAGCTGCATAGCTAGAAATATGTATCTGGGCTTCATCTACAGACTAGCAATAATTGAAGTCATAAGAACAAACATCATCATGTGTACCAAAACAAAAGAGAGACTAGGGATAAAAGCTTTTGGGGATCATAGGGAGCAGAGTAGGATCTAAGGAAAGAGACAGTGAAAGGAATAGTGTCATGGAAGCCAATGAAATCCACTTTCTAAAAGTGGGTATCAAAAAAAGAGAGAGTGGTCAACAGTATGAGGAGGTTGAGGCAGGAAAGTTAGGAGAAGATATCTGTGTGTGTGTGTGTGTGTGTATATATATATGTATATATATATATATACATATATACTTATATAGTACTTTCACATTTATAAAACACTTTTTTCACAACTTTGTGAGGTAGTGTCAACCACATTATTATCCCCTTTTCAGAGGTGAGATGATCTTTGAGAGTTGTGATTTCCCCGAAGTCACACCACTGAGAGTCAGAACTTATTTCAATGTATCAATCAGTTGTGATTTTTTCTTCTTCTTTTTCTTTTTTTTTTTGTCTTTTTAAAAAAATACTGTTTGTTATAGGGGAAGGCTCTCTGGAAGAAAGAGGGGAGGGATACTGGTGGAAAATATGACAATGTAAGAAATAAAAGACATCAATAAAAACTTATTTTTAAAAAAAGAGCCAGAACCTGAGCTTAAGTTTCCTGACTCTAAATCCAAACTATTTATAAGTAGGTTTATCAATGACTTGAATAAAGGTAAAGATTGCATGCTTATCAAATTTATAAATGACCCAAAGTTAGGGGAGAAAGCTAACAAATTGGATTACACAGTCAGGGCCCAGAAAATGCTAGAGATAAGAGTTTGGGGTCAAATCAACTTGCTTCAGTACTTTGATGGATCCATGATCTCCTCCACATGGATACTCTTCCAGACAATGTAGATCTAAACATCTCACAGCTAATTAGCAGCAGGACTAAACCCAGGTCTCTTGGTTGACTATTCCACATTCTTCTGAAGTTTCTTCATAGCCACCCATCAATTTTAAGTCTTTTCTCTGCTTATCAAAAAGACTAATTTTTGGCCTTTAAGATGTAACAATGCTATTCCTATATAAATTGCTTTTATAAGTTGACAAGTCTTTCATTTGCTTAATGGATTTTTATTAAAGGGTATTAAATAAACAAGGAAAGAAAAAAGAAGGAAAGGAAAGAAAGAAAGGGCATTTCTAAAGAGAAAGAAAGGGGATTAATTAAAGGATATCTTGTTAAAGGGTAAAGAAGAAGATCCTCTTCTTGCTGTGATATGGGAACTGCCTGAAGTTGTGCCTATATTTATACAAGGGAAGAAAGTCATCTCTCTGACAGTGTCTTCTAAACCCAAGGCTATGAATATACCTATCCCAGAGGTTGAGCTGGAGCCTAATGAAGATGAGCCTGTTGTCCTTAATATTGTAAGTTTAAATTCTAGACTCCCTTTTTACTAGAATTATTTTGATCCATTTTCCTATCATGTTAGTCCTACTCCTTTACCCTCCAGTCCTTCAATATCTAGTCAGTTAGTAAATAAACATTCTATAAGCACCTACGATGTACCAAGTACTATGCTAGGTGCCAGAAATACAAACACAAAGAATGAAATAATCCTTATCCTCAAGGAACTTACGTTATAATAGAGGGACAATAAGTACATACATATGTATGCCCAGGATAAATATGGAAAAAGGTAAGGTTGTGTAGAAGGTAGTAAGGGAAGACACTAGCACTTGAAATATAAGGATAGACTATATGTGGAAGTTGGTGTTTGAGCTTTGCCTTTAAGGAGAGGGATTCTGAGGGACTACATTCTGGAAATGAGGGATGACTAGGACAAAGGCATGGAGGGAAGAGATGGAGTGTCATGTGTGAGTAATAGAAACAAAAGGCCAGTTTGTCTAGATTGCAGACAGTGGAAAAGAGAGTAATGTATATTGAGGCTGGAAAGGTAGTTTGGGGCAAGGTTGTAAAGGACTTTTCAGAGCTAAAGAGTGGAATTTACAAAGCTTATACAGTCTCATTAAGAGTAGTAACTAACCAACATCATTCTAATCTATTTCCATCTAGAAAACAGCCACCCCAGCATCATTCAGGAGTAGGTTGACTACCATCAAAATACGGAGCCAGTGCTAAAAGAGAAAGACTAGTTGAACACTTCTCTTGGACAAGAGAACATTAGTTAAGGCCCTTGGCTGTCAGGGAGCACTAGTCACAAAATGATGAAGAGTTAGAGATGGAGGGACCAAAGGGATTATCTAGTCCAACACCCTCATTTTATATATGAGAAAATAGGACCAGAAGGGTAGAATGACTTGTTAAAAGTCATATGGCCAGCAAATATTGGAATCAAGACTCAAACCCAGGTTTTCTGATTCCAAGTCTAAAGTTCTTTTTGGCTATACTCTGCTTTAACAGGTAGCACAGGGGAAAGAGCATTGGCCCAGGAACCCAGAGACCTCTGCTTGAGTCTAGCATTGATTTGGCACGTGACCTTTGGCAAGTCACTTAACCTCAGTTTTCTCATCTATAAAATGTGGATAGACTAAGCTACTTCACAGATTTGTTGTGAGTAAAACATTTTGTTGAAGATAAACTGCTATGTAAATGTAGGCTACTATTATTGCAAGAGAAGTTGGAAACTGTTTCATCTCCAGAGCCAGTCTGAAATTTATTTTGTATAGATGGCTATTTCATCCTTCCATCTTCCAAATATAGGCAGATTGTTGATCAAATTCTGGCAAAAGTTTTTAGGAGGATCTGGGGCTCGTCATCATTCCTCCCTTCTCAAATTTTCCTAGAGTACTTTGTGCATTATTTCCCTTTATTCACCTCACCATCTAGCAATCTCCAACTGTCCTGTATCACATTTATCTATGTACACATCATATCCTCCATTTACAATATAGGGACAAACTATGTCATTTTTGTTTTTATATCTCCTGAATGAACCAGTTTCTTGAATGTAGTAGGCACAAACAAATAAATGTTACATTTTGATGGAATTGAGTCAAATGGCTCACCAATTTCATTGACTTCTAGTCAATGATTATCTACAACAGAACTTTGGCTCCATTTTCTCGTGTTAGTTCATGAAGTTTCAGCTTCCCCTTCAAGTGGGATTTTTGGTTCTATTGCCTTGTTCTCCAGATTTCACATTTTCAACACTGCAAAAGTCTTACATTCCTCATATCTGATGTATACTTTTGTATACTCTTTTCACAGATTCATTCATCATTCTAAAAGTTCACATTAAGACAGAGTCTTGGTCAAAGGATCCTAGTGACTTAAGATGAAGAGTCAACAACAAAAAAGCTTTGCATTGATTGATTGATTGATTGTTGTTGTTTGTCCTTTATTCTCTAAGAGGACTATGACATCAGGGAGGTGATTCCATGACATGCAAGTGAATTGGATTTGAGGGAGAGCTGTGCAAAGTCACCAGTCTCTCTTTCTCCTTAAATAGCAGTTCAAAGGAAGTATCTGAAGTGCGCCTGGGAGAAATTCAAGGGCTTTTTGGAAAGTGCCTTTGCTGATTGCAAGCCAGTAAATGTCAAACACACTAGTTACATTCCAGAGAAGTTAGATGTAAGGCATGGAGCCACGGTCTGAAGGTAATGAGTCAACAGGTTCTATTCCCTGGCTTGACTGAACTCTGACTTCACTTAATATATTGATCCTTGCCCTACATGTACTATCCCTGAGTGGGTTTCTATATCTCCACTGACCTTGTATGGAATGACCATCATTCGGGATATTTTTAAGATCATGGGGACATCAGAGGTGGAAGAAAACATAAAGGCCATCTATCCAAACCCCCTTAATTTACAGATGAAGAAAGGGAGACTCAGGGAGGTGGGTGACTTACTGAAAGGTTCACATAGACAATTTAAAAGTTTCAGTGGCAGGATTCCAACTTATATCCTTTGACTCTAGAGCTAGTACATTTTCCTAATGTACCACTTAAACTTGGCACTCCTAGCTTTAATTCCTCAAAATCAAAAAGATTAAGGAGAGAACAGAATCATTCCATAAGTGAACGGGTATATGGGAAGAATAGGGAATGCTTTATTTCTTGTAAAGTCATCACCCCTGGAAAACACAGTTAAATTATTCAACTACAATAACAGGTAGCCTAGTTTGCTGGCAACCAGATCAGGCCAGTGATTGCTACAAATCTTTTAAGTCCCTGAGTGAAAAATATAAGAAGATAATGGCATTTTTCCCCATCTCTGACTACAAAAGAGCCTCCTGCAAGAGTAATCTTTGATTCCTTGATGAGTTTATAATTGCTACATTGTGGGTATCCTCACTATTGATGCAGGTGACAACTTCTTCATTTCTTCTCATTCTGACTAATGCTTGTCTATAAGGTCACCATGGCTTGTCCAAGGTCACTTTGGTTTGATTCCAGGTCCAATGGAGATTCTACTGCCTGCACCTAGAACTGAAAGGGACAAATGAAACAGAACAAACCAAACCAAAACCCCGAGCCTGTTTCTCAGAGTCACAATGCAAAAGGGAGGAGGAGGGAAAGGCAGCCCTTCCCCCCACCCAGTCAGTTCATAGCATGGGCCCTATGGGTAAACATGACCCTCATCCTCGCTGGATGTGGGAGAGTGTCCCAATCTGGCAAGTTTTAAAGATGTAGGATGTTCTGGTAACATATCCAATTGAAAGGGGCTATGGCCACCTACATGGTAGGGGAACCCAGTACGTCTTTTCCCAGAAGCTGGGTACTTCCATGTTAGGTCATCCGAGCATGTGCAGAAAAGCCTTCATTATACTTTATTGCAAGTTCCTTATGCCAGTAAAATCTCAGGCATGGTTCAAAAACAGTTAGGATAGATCTCCTGGAATCATATAAATCACTTTCTTAGCTTCATCTTTTCTTCTAACTTGGTTTTTACTTTAACCTTTGCTTTAATCAACTAATAATCTGACTACACAGAATGAGATGATTCAAAAATAATTGCTATATCTATATAGCTGGTTCTTTGTTTTGTTACTTATGGTCAATTTTTTTAATATGATGTCATTCAGAGCTGGTCAAGGACAGTACCTGTAGGTTCTGGGTTTTTTTGTTTTGTTTTGTTTTGTTCTGTTTTTTTAGGCAATTGGGGTTAAATGACTTGCCCAGGGTCATACAGCTAGTAAGTATCAAGTGTGTGGTCTGAGGGTAGATTTGAACTCAGGTCTTCCTGACTCCAGGGTCAATGCTCTATCCACTGTACCATCTAACTGCCCCAACAGGTTCTCTTCTTAAAGAGAGTATTCATTATATATAGAAGAGAGTAGTTATACACATTTGGCTTCTTTCATTTTTTTTAAATCCTCAAATATATTTTCCATTATAATTTTACTTCCCTCTTTGCCTACTTTCCCTTAGAAATCACTTTGTAAAAAGAGATATTAACTTAATTTGGAGGAACTTGCCAAATTCTTCACAGAATTTCTCTGTTTAATCTTCTGCAAGGGAGATTGACACTGAAGTTTAATGATCTTAATGATCTTCATGGTGGCTTATTTGCTTATGCTCATCAAGAGGATGATGCAAGACAAGATGATCAGTTTTCCCATTAAATTATTTTTCTGTTGTTTTTGGACCCTTGATAAAATGAACCATGACAATTCCTTCATCCACCTCTCCAAAGGAAATCTATGTACCATCATTCCATTTCTTGGCAATTTCTTTGTGTCCTCTGGTCAAGAAGACATTAAGGGACAGAATATTGATATAGACTTGGTTTAGTTACTTCCATAGTGCGTCAATTTTCTGCTCTCTGGCCAAAGACCATAAATTAAGAGTATCAACAATTAAATTAGTGTTTTTATATGGTCTAAGAATTATGTGATACTAAGCATCCTCTGCTCCCTTTTTCTCCATTCCGTCACCAATATGACAGAAGCAGAAGACTGAGGGTCATTTTGTATTCTTGTCAGTTGAATAAGTAGCTGTGGTGAAAATATTCATCACCGAGTGGTCAAACTTTTGGTGGTGAACATCATCACCCTTAGCAGAGCTGCTTAGACAGTAGATACAGAGTCTATTTCCAGGCCTATGTACTCTGTCCAGTTTGGAAGTACATGGCTAGCACTCAGCTTATATAGACTCCGAGAACTCGGGGTCGTTTCTATGCAACAATAAGACCTTGGAGTAGACTTCTTTGAAAAGTATTTGGGAGAAACAGAAACTTGTGCCACAAATACTTTTATAGTTGACCCTCAAATGATGTGGAATTTGAAGGTGCTTCTAAGACTTTTCAAAGTTTTGGATACAAAGCAATGGATTTGAATATACTCAAGAAAGCTATTCTTGTAGTCATATCCAACTAAACACTGCACATGAAATGTACAAAAGCCAGAGGGAGGAACATGGTGAGGGGCTGGAATACGGTTTAGTCTATTCATCCTAAAGAGTGAGACTCTTCATTGACCTCATTTATTTCTTCCAATCCTGGCTAAAATGACTCTCTTGCACTCAAAGCTTCTATAGTTTAAGGTCCGTATGCCAAGATTCTGCTGAGTATTCAGGGAGATGTATTCAAGGACCAAGCACAAGCAAGAAAGTTATGATACAGAGAGCAATCAAGAAAACCTTTAAAGCTTTTCAGCCACTATTGTAACAAACTAAAAATTTAGTCTCAGCTAGAAAACAATTACTAGCACAGATCACTTATTTTTTTTTTAAATCTGCACTAACATTCTGTAATCTATACATACATACATAAATGTAGATATGTATATGTGTGTGTATATATATGCTATATTGTTTTCCTTTGGGTTGAAACACAATATGCACTTTAGCCCTGCATTTCAAACTTCATTTTTTACAAATGTGTTTTGCTTGTCAATTGAGATTACTTTGAAATTAATAGTTTCTATGAATATTTGTCACAAGAATATTGTCAAATAAATTGTATGAAAGGAAGAACAGAAAAGATTTCTTCATGTAATAATTCTATTTTATTTAACCTCTCTAATGAATCATGTCATTAAAAATGCTAAGGTTTCAGTTCCATGGATTTGATTCATGAGATTTTTAGGTTCCAATAAAAGGCAGAGGAAGAAGAAAAGTGAGCCAAAATATGAGGGCAGTTGGTATGTAGTTTCCTATATAATGGAAAAGACTACTTTTACACAAAGAAAAAAAAAGTTCTGGCAAATTACTAAAATACATAGAGGTTATCTTTCAGAATTCTCACAGAAGCTGAAATCTCTTATTGATCATTAGAAGACAAAAAAATTTAAGCCTTAGTAATTTTTTTCATGATTTGGCATTTGTATACCACCCATCATTCACATAGTACAATTATAATAATTATTTAAAGGTAAAATGCTTACAAAAGTCACTTAGGAAAAAAATCTAGGTCACTCTGTGTTAATTCCTTATTTTTCCAAATAACTTGATAAGCTTTCCTACACTTAAAAAAATTGAGACTCTGTTTTCATATAATAATAATATATTTATATAGGACTTTACCATTATAAAGCACTTTACATACATAATTTCATTGGATCCTCACAATAAATCTGTGATATAAGAAGTATAATGATTCTTATCCCCATTTTACAGGTAAAGGAACTCTGAGGTTCACAGAGATTAAGTGACATGTCAAATGCAGGGTTGGGAGTCAGATGTCGCAAATCCTATGCTATTTTTGCTATAACATTCTACTCTTCCTTCTGATTGATAACATAAAAAGTAGTCCTATCTGTCAGTAAGCCATAAATTTCTTAAACAAAACATCCAGGAAGAAAAGAGTTTGTTTGTTTTTCCATGAATGAAATGCTGGGTTAGAAACATTCCTGTAACTAGTTCTATATCCCTGTGGATGAGAGAACTGCCCTATATGTATGTACTTTCCTCTCAAAGTGCTCTCACTATGACTGTCAATAAAGCCTTCCCATTCATTCTGTAGAATCCTGGAATCAGTACGGAAGTGACATGCTTTGATGTGCTGATAATGGAAGGCTACAACATGATTGCTGCTGCAACTGTAAATGGCATCATTATCTTATGGAACTTTGTACCCTGCACTGTCACAGAATTGTAAGTAATACTTCTCCTGAAGGATTTTTTGTTTTTTCCCTAATGAATATACTTCCTAGGAACCCAAAGAACCCACTGTGTTCCAAACAGTGGAAAGAGATGACATAGGCTTCTCAGCAAGTCATGTTCAAAAGTAGAATGTGGAGGCAGCTAGGTGGCACAGTGGATAGAACACCAGCCCTAAAGTCAGGAGGACCTGAGTTCAAATCCGGCCTCAGACAAAACACTTGACACTTACTAGCTGTGTGACCCTAGACAAGTCACTTACCCCCAGTTGCCTCGCCAAAAAAATAAAAAAATAGCAAAAATAACAAAAGTAGAATGTGATCAAAGCTGGTTTTGTTTTTAAATCACAAATGGTATGGATAAAGTGAACCTGCAGAATTTGTTCAACAGATCTCATGGAATTTGACTTGAAACAGACAGATAAGATGATAGTTCTAGAAGGGATCTCAGAGGTCATCTTTTCCAATCCTTTCCAGGGCCTAGACAGGTTAAGTGACTTTCCCGCAATTGTACAGGAAAATAAGGGACAGAATAAGGTTTCAAACTGAAATCCTGGGACTCCAAATCCTTGAGACTACTCAGTATAAATGTACACATATAGTCCGTGATTAAAGAAAACAGTTTGGGCTTCTGCTGGAGGGGGGAAACAAAAAATGAAAATACAATCAGATCAAGGGTGAGAGATACTTTCTATATTTGCGTTGGCCTGTATCAGTTGATTAAAACAGACTTGTCCAAACTTTTTGATTATGCTCCCTTAATATCTGTGTCACCTGTGGCTCATAAAGAATTCTCACAGAAAAGGAGCTCCTGCTCTAGGCTGAAGTAGATTCAAGCCCAGTCCTGAGGGCAGCATCACCCCAAAAAGAAGAGTCAGGCTTTTCTCAGATTCTCTCACTCATTTATCCTCCACCCTGTAGTTGTGGGAAAGGGATGGGCAATATCTAGTTTTGTTTTGTTTTGTTTTTCCTCAGGGAATTAATAGATCCCTTCTAAAAATATACTTCCTGAAAACTGGTGACCGGAGCCAAGTCAGTAGCAGCTCAATCAATCAGTCAGAAGGTTTAATTAAGAGCCAACCCTGGGGATTTAAAACAAAAAAGGTCCTTGTTCTCAAGGAGCTCATAGTCTACTAGAGGAGCTCGTACTCTAATCTCATCTCTCTGAATCTCATGGAAATCATCTCACTAAATTTCTAGTTATTAAACCCCAGGTCTGCCTTGGTCCAGTCTCCTAGACCCTCTGGGAATAAAGCCAGCACCAGGGGCAGCTAGGTGGCACAGTGGATAGAGCACTGGCCCTGAAGTCAGGAGGACTTGAGTTCAAATCCAGTCTCAGACTAAACACTTGACACTTCCTAGCTGTGTGACCCTGGGCAACTCACTTAATCCCAATTGCCTAAAAATTAAAATAAAAAATAAAAAAATAAAATAAAGCCAGCAGTACTACTCCTTCCACAGCACCACCTTCAGTCAGTAGGATCCTATCTCAGGGTGTAGTCATTGCTATTATCTCTGTATTTTCAGTCCTGGGAATTCTCCTCCTGGCAGGGGCACTGGTCCTGCTGAGTTGTAAGCTATTGGAGAAGTACCATGCATGGCATCTACCAGGTCCAGCAGTGAAGGTCAGGAGGATGCCTGGGTTCCAATGTCCTCTAAGCTGAAGCTTCCTCCTGAGGAGTGGCTCATCTGAGCAATATATACCCCAACTCACAAAACCAAATTCTGGCATATAGATCTGCCCAGCATTGCATGGCAACCACCAGCGTTGACAACTTCCTCCAGCGAGCATCTGGACTAACACTGAGGGTTTGGACAGTGGATGCTTGCGAAGAATGGTCAGAAGAAGCTTTAGGATGAAGCTGTCTACTTTGGCCCAGATGAGGAGCCCATTTTCTGGGAGGGCTCACCCTGGGCCATAGGCAACACACATATTAGGGGGAAGCTTAATTTAAAAGAACAAAAGTTGTTGACCATAATCACTTTCACTGTACCACCAAGCCTTCTATGGACTTTTGACTTTTATCTGTCAACTTTGGCCTGAGACTAATGATAGCTGTTTTTTTTTTCTTTGTGGTGACTCATACTACTATCACTTGACCCTTTTGCCATGTCCTGCTTCTTCTGTCCTTCAATCCTGTTTTCTTTGACTTTCAGCAGCTCCACGTGACTGAGGCAGCCCCAGAACTAAAGGACTTAAAGGCCTGGGTGTCCTATCGAGGTTAGCTGGATTCAAAGATCTTCGATATCTCTCCTTAGTGGGGAGGGGCTGCCACATCTAGAGCCCACATCTAGGGGCTAGAAACTGACCCCCACCCCCAGGCCATTTTTTAACATTCCTCCTACCCTCCCTGAGTCCACCTTTCTTCCTGGTAAATGAAAACAGGTATTTGAGTTCCTAAAGGGAAGGGACTAAGAAAAAAAATGATAGTGGTTGTATGAAGTAGTAGATAATAGGGATAGGTCAGCTATTTATTTTGTTGTTGTTTAGTTGTTTTTCAGTCGTGTCCAACTCTTCATGACCTCTTTTTGAGGTTTTCTTGGCAAAGATATGGGAGTGGCTTGTTATTTCCCTCTCCAGATCATCTTTTTTTCTTTTTCTTTTTTTTTTTTTTTTGCCTAGGCAATGGGGTTAAGTGACTTGCCCAGAGTAACACAGCTAGTAAATGTTATGTGTCTGAGATCAAATTTGAACACAGGTCCTCCTGAATCCAGGGCCAATCCTCCATCCACTGCGCCACCTAGCTGCCCCCTCCAGGTCATCTTACAGATGAGGAACTGAGGCAAACAGGGTTAAGTGCCTTGCCCAGGGTCACACAATTAGTAAGTGTCAGAAGTCGGATTGTAATTCAGGAAGATGAATCTTCCTGATTCCAGACCTGGCACTCTTTCTGCTGAGCCACCTAGTTGCCTGGATAAGTCCATCATAAAAAGTTGGACATGACTAAAAGACAACATTACTAGCCGTATGAAAAATGCTCCAAATCACTAATAATAAGATAAACGCTATCCAAAACAATCCTAAGATTTCACCTCATACAAAGTAAATTGACTAAGATAACAAAAGATAGGAATAGTTCATGTATTGAGGGTTGTAGGAAGATAGGTGTGCTAGTGCATTGTTGGTAGATTTGTAAATCAGTAAAACTATTTTGGAAAGCAGTTTGTAATTGAAATTGGAAAGAAAGTAACTAAAATATCAATACTTTTGACCTAGAGATTCTCCTTACCAAGCATAAACCCCAAAGAAGACATGATAAGAAGAAAGCGTTCATATACACCAAAATATTTATAGTATCAATTTTTGTGATATCAAGAAATGAAAACAAAGTAGATACCCATTGACTAGGAAATGGCTAAACAAATTTTGGTAAATGAATATAATGGAATATTACTTGTCTGTAAGTAATAATTAATATGATAAATACAGAGAAGTATTGAAGATTTATATGAAGTGATGCAGAGTAAGTAGAGGCAAGGAAACAACATACACAATAACTACAACAGTATAGATGGAAAAAATGATTATAAAGCCATAAAAAGTAAATGTTGCAAAAATTACAGAGAACACGCAATGCTCAAATGAAGAGATATATGACAGCATGTTCCTATCTCATTCCTTTGCAGAAGTGAAAGGAATATAGATGTGAAACATTGCATAGATCTTTAAGTCTTTTTGATATGTTGATTAGTTTTGCTGATTTTTTCTCTCTTTTTAAAATTTACAACATTATTTGGTTCTTGTTGGGGGAAAGGAAGGATATTGGGAGAAATTTTGGTGTTGTAAAAATGGAAGTTTCAAAAAAGAGCCTCACTTATTTGAAGATAGGTAAGATGTTTTGTTTTGTTTTGTTTTGTTTTAAACAAACTGCCATGTTTTCAAAGTATTAGTGCCCCCATAAAACAAGATTTGACCAAATATTACTTTATGTGGAGGACGCTAAACTTTGTTTGGGATTTCTATAGGCATAGGAATTTGCAAAGCATGATTTTTACTCAAATTCAAACATACATATTTTTTCTAGGCACAGACCAGAGGATGCCCTTATTCTAGATCCTGACCTGGATCCTAAACGCTTAAAAGTTAATGCCATGTTATTCCTCTTCCGTAGCAGTGATTGCGTAAGGTAAGATGGTGCTTATTCTTTGAGTAAACCTATCCAAGGCCTAGTTGCTAGTTCATCTAAGTCAGTAGGTAGGAGATTTTATAAATGTATCTCCTACTTCACTGCAGCTAGGTAAGCTACCTGGTGTGGTAGATAGAGCACTGGGCTTGGAGTCAGGAAGACCTGAGTTCAAATCTGGCCTCAGATACTTACTAGCAGTTTTACCCTGGACAAGTCACTTGTTCAGTTTCCTCATCTGTAAAATGAACTGGAGGAGGAAATGGCAAACCACTCCAGTATCTTTGCCAAAAAAACAAACAAACCCAAATGAAGTCATGAAGTCATGGTTACACAACTAAACAACAACCTCACTACAAAAGCAAGGACACAGATTAGGGATAGTATTTATTAGAAAGAAGTATGGATCTAGGCTGTTTGCTTTTTTATTTTTTAGACTCCATTATTGTCTCTAGAAAAGTATTATGGTTTTCAGAGGCTGCATTTCACCCACGTCCATTTCAACCTCAGGTTTTTCTTCTCATTAACAGCAGTGAAGTGATGGGTCCATCTATCTAGCCATAATCAAACATAATGGCCTTCAACACTGAGCAGAAGGGTGGAAATTCTGGTGGATTGTAAAGAAACTCTAATAGCAGAGAGGAGTACATGCCATCTACTGTGTTGAGAAGAATATTCATCCAGATCTAGTTTTCTTCATTGAAAGCTAGGGAGTTCTTTTTGTGTGTGTCTAAATTTTAAAAGTCACACCTTATCTGTTTGCACTTCTTGAAATTCCCTGTTTTTATGAAATGGAGATCTTTACTGAACTTTCAGATGATCATTATAGTGAAGGCAAAAGGCCAGGTATGGATAGTTCCCATCTGCTTGTTTGGTTGATGTACCTTCTGCATGTGGAAAATTCTAGAGAGCTTGCTTTCAATGGAATTATGATGATGTGTAAAAGAAATGCCTTGGAGATTTGGTGGAGCATGAAAAGATGTTCCATAACTTGTTTGTGTCAGCTAACCACAAGGTGAAAGGGAGTCTTGTTGATTGACTTCAGAAGTATTCAAAAAGGTCTATCAGCATCAGCTGAGCAAGCTGATGGGTTCACTGAGGCTTAGCGAGTTCTGTGGGAACCACCCACAGAGAAAGATAACATATTGATAGATAATGAATAGTTAAAATTTCACACACACGAGCTTTTCATTGTTCTGTCTAGAAAAGTAACAAGGTTTCCTTTAGTTTCTTCAAGTTAACAGTACCTAGTCTAAACTAAGGCCTTTGCAGTAATAGCAAACTCTGAGGAAGCACTACAAAATAAGATAGGCCTAGGGTCCTGATTTAACAGCAATGTCATCTAGTGAAAATATGATCAGAAAAGGAAATGGGTCAACCATGCAGCAAGAACAAAGACAAATGAAGTCCTGCATTGGTACCCACGAAACACAAAATGACCTAGTGAAAGGCCTCCACCTATATATCAGCTAGATTCTCTGTGGAGCATCCAGGGAAGCACATAGACAACAATGGCACAAAATGGGAAGGCATGAAAGGATTGCAGTCTGTGTCATTGGCAGGGATTCCCTTGTCAGTGAAGTTATAGATTCACTGAAGTCTTACCCCTCAGAAGGTTAAATATCATATGATGACTCTTCTATTCTTCTCTGACACTAGGAAAATAAGTGAAGAATCTATAACTTCTTCAGCACGAAGTGATTCTACCCATGGCTTACAGAGCAATAAGGTAAGCTTAAACAACGCTTCTTCCCTTTGTTTGCATTGTTGATTTCTAAATTGATAATCTTCATTTGAGTATCATCTTCTGTTAAGCTGGTCTTTCCCGCATTACTACCTTTGTGAGGCTGTAAGAATTACCTGTAAGTATAAGAAGTTGGTGTCCACTCTGGGAAAGGCTTTCTACTGTTTTAAAAACTAAAAAAAAAAAAAAGTGAAAGGCTACATAATTGAGTAATTCAGAGTCTCCTAGTTTTGTGGTCTGCTCAACATGTCATCAAGCACTCTACCTTCATTATGAGATCTCCACAACTAAGGGTAGAAGTCTATTTACTGTGTCTGTCCTCACTAAGTAAATTTCTTTGACAGGAGAGAATAAGGAGGGTAAATTTTTCAATAAGGCTTCTTTGGGATATTCTAAAAGTCGGAATAAAATCTTTAAACGTTTTTTCTCTTAAAATGTTCTACTTTTTACACTTCTTTTCCTTTGAAATGTTTTATTTCCCAGGCCTTCACAGTCTTACACATGCCAAATATTCTAATTTAATCCAGTATAACTTGGGCAAACCAAGTTATATTTTATGTTTTATTTTAGCTTTGGATTTGAAGTCAGAAGATTTGGGTTTGAGTTACTACTCTGACTAGCCATGTGACCTTGGAAAAGTCATTCAGTCTCTCTGAGAACCAGTTTTCTCAATTGTAAAATAGAGGGGATGGAACTGGAACTACCTCAAAGGGTTGTTTTATGGGAAGTGCTTTATAAACTTTAAAGCTCTAAATAAGTATGAATTATCGTTATTTTTTATGTTCCTAAGCTAATATATAAAGGGCAGTTTTTATTTTTTAAAGTTTTGTTTTATTTTCAGTTCCAAATTTTCTACATTCCCTTTCCCCACTGCATCCATAGAGAAGGCAAGAAAAATAAAACCCATTAGAAATATGGATAGCCAAGCAAACCAAATTATACATTAGCCATGTGCAAAACATATTTGAGGAGAAAAAGAAAAAAAATGCTTCAATCTGAATTCTTGAGTCTGTCAACTCTCTCTGGAGATGGGTAGTATATTTCATCATGAATCCTTTAGAATTGTGGTTGGTCATTCTGTTCATTAGAGTTCCCAAGTCCTTCAAAGTGGTTTATCTTTACAATATTGTTGTTATTGTATAAATTGTTCTGTTGGTTCTGATTTCTCTTTGCATCACTTCATGCAGATCTTTCCAGGTTTTTCCTGAAACTTTCCCTTTCATCGTTTCTTACAGCACAATAATATTCCATCACCTTCATATATCATAAGTTGTTTAGCCATTCCCCAATTAATGGGTGCATACTCACTTTCCAATTCTTTGCCACCAATTTAAAAAGCTACTATAAATATTTTATATACAGGTTCTTGCAAAGGGCATTTAAAAAATATTTAACTTTTTTCCAATTGCAAGTAAAAACAATTTTTAACATTCATTTTTTAAAATTTTGAGTTCCAAATTCTCTCCCTCCTTCTCTCCCTTCCCACCTCATTGAGAAGGAAGGCAATTTGATATAGATTATACATGTGCAATCATGCAAAACATATTTCCATATTAGTCATGTTGTGAAAGAAAACACAGACCAAAAAAAAAATCAAGAAAAATAAAGGAAAAAAAAAGTATTCTTCAATCTGCATTCAGACTCCATCAGTTCTTTTTCTGGAGGCAGATGGTATTTTTCATCATAAGTCCTTTGGAATTGTCTTGGATCACAACTGAGAATAGTTAAGTCATTCACAGCTGATTATCATACAATATTGTACACTGTTCTTCTGATTGTGCTCACTTCATTTTGCATCAGTTCATGTAAGTCTTTCCAGGTTTTTCTGAAGACATTCTGCTTGTCGTTTCTTATAACACGATAGTATTCCATCACAATCTGTAGATGATTCTTAGCTGTAATTCTAGCTCCTTTGCCCTCCAGAATATCACATTGCAAGTCCTCCAATCCTTTAATGTAGAAGCTGCTAAATCTTGTGTTATCCTGGTTCGAGGCTATCAAGGCAGTTTTCTTTTATAATTTTTTGAAATATGATGTCTGGGCTCTTTTTTGGCTTTCAGTAGTCTTAATAATTCTTAAATTATCTCTCCTCAATCTATTTTCCAGGTCAGTTGCTTTTTCAATGAGATATTTCACATCTTTTTTTCTCTTTTTTCATTCTTTCAATTTTGTTTTTGATGTCTTGATGTCTCATGCAGTCATTAGCTTCCACTTGCTCAATTCTACTTTTTAAAGGAGTTCTTTCCTTCAGTGAATTTTTGTATATCGTTTTCCTATTTAGCCAGTTCTGCTTTTTAAGAGTTGTTATCTTCAGTGGATTTATGTGCCTCTTTTACCTTTTCTGTTTTTTAAGCTGTTATTTTCTTCACACTTTTTTGTGCTTTTCCAAGCTGTTGATTCTTTTTTATGATTTTCTTGCATTACTCTCATTTTCTTTTCCCAATTTTTCATCTACTTCTCTTATTTGATTTTTAAAATCCTTTTTGAGCTCTCCCAGGAATTCTTTTGGGGCCTGAGATCAATTCACATATTTCTTTGAGGTTTTGGATGTAGTTGTTTTTACTTTGTTATCTTCTTCTGAGTTTGTGTTTTGCTCTTTCCTGTCACCACAGTAACTTTCCATGGTCAGATTCTTTTTTTGTTGTTCTTCTTGTTTACTCATTTTTTCCAGCCTATTTCTTTATGTTAAAAGTTGGGCTCTGCTCCTGGGATAGAAGGGGCACTATCACAAGATTCAAGTTTTTCATGTTGCTGTTTTCAGAGCTAGTTCTTGGGGTCTGTAAGTTTTTAGTTCTTCCAAGCCCTCCAATCAGAGAGGACAGGAGGCTGAGTGAAGTGGTAGCAATCAAGGCTTGAGCAGCACAGTGGTGAGTCTAGAAATGATGAGCTTATGCTGGGAGAGGCATCTTGTTCTGTGGAGTTGAAATCAGGCTGGCTAGCAGGTATAAAGCAGAATTAGAGTATCAAGGAGAGGGAAACTGGGGTAGCTAGGTGGTGCAGTGGATAAAGCTCTGGCCTTGGAGTCAGAGGAACTGAGTTCAAATCTGGCCTCAGACACTTGACACTTACTAGCTGTGTGACCCTGGGTAAGTCACTTAACCCTGATTGCCTCACCAAAAAATAAATAAATAAAATAAAAATGAAGAAGAGGGAGACTGACAATCTCAAAGGCTGAAGACAGGTCAAGAAGGATGTCCACTCTGGTGCAAGTCCTCATCACCCTATGTCTGGACTACTGCAATAACCTTTGGTTAGTCTCTCTGCCTCAAGTCTCCCCCCACTTCAGTCCATCCTCCTCTCATGTGTCAAACTGTTCCTCCCAAAGCACAGATGTGACCATGCCATTTCATTCTAGTAGCTCCTAAGACTTCTAGGATCAAATATAAATCCTCTTCTTGGCATTCAGCAATGTGAGTGAGAGGGGAAAAAAATGGAATCCAAAGGACGTCTAAGGACAGATGAAAAGTTTTGAAAGAGCTCCTGTGCTAAGATAGTGAATCAATTAGGGATGTGTAAAAGGACTGCTGTGCTATAGAAAGGGCCCATTTGGGATTGTAACAAATTTGTAGTGTGCCCACTTAGCAAGGTTTCTTGATTTTCTGCAACTTCATTCAATCAAATGGGTTGAGAACAAAGGCAGTGGATGGTGGGAATAATCCAAGGCTTGAGGCTTGGCAAGACATGATTAGTAATAAAAGGGTAAGGAACTAAAGAGAAGATGACAGTGTAGAGTTGAACTAGTTCACCAAGGATTCAAGATGGGAAAGGGAGCAGAGTGGTAGCCAGTTCAGGGGTTCAAAGCAGTGCCTGAGAAATGAGTAGTGGAAGGATTGAAGGTCACAGTGAGGACAAATAATAGTATGGGACTGCAAGACAGGAAGAGGTAGAATGAGAACAGATTGTGATTAGATAAGTGAGTTTCAGAGTTCATGAACATTGAAGTGAAATAGTTGTGAGTGATGACAAAATCAAGGGTATGTCCATTTCTTTGTGTAGCTTCAGTGGGGTGGAGGAGAGTAGGTCATGGTAAATGAGTAAATTGAGGAAATGGGAGGTTAGATTTATTTGAAGGAGTAACAATATGTATGTTAATGTTCCCTGGATAAGGGTGGGAACTGATGAAGAAATACTATTAGCCAGTCATTGAACTCATTGAGGAAAGAGGGCAAATTTCTTAGAGGTTGGTAGATAATAGCTACCAGAATTTTGAGTGGGTGGTAAATATTGATTAAGCAAATCTCTAAGGAGAAGAGGTTACTGAGTGATAGTAACATAGGGAAAGTCTTGAAATAGAAATGGGGAGCAAGGAGAATTCCAACTCCCCCACCTTAAACAGTGAGTCTCAGAGAGTATGAGTAAAAGTTCACCCAGCAGCCGAGGAGGTTTTATTATCAGGAGGGATTCGGGTCTCAGTAAAATCCAAAAATTGGAGGGAGTAAGAAAGCAAATCAGTTACCTATGAATAGGCATTCCAGAAAGCACTGTGGAAAGGGTGGGTACCTGTGAAGTGGGACATTGTGGAAGTTGAGTTGAAGGAGATGAGATTAAGGAAGCAGGAGGAACAGAAAATGAGATTTGAACTAGAGGGGTTCAGAATGGGATGGGGAGAGTATGATAGGATAGTAGTTTGTTAAACATTAAGAAATAGGTTCAAGTCAGAGATCAGATGACAGAGTGAAAGCATGTATTGCAGTGAGTTCCTCTCCAAAAATTTCTCCAAACAGATCTAGAAAATGCACCAGATCAAAGAGGCAAGAGGAGGTACCAGACCCATACCTGGCACCATCAGACCTATGCCTGAGATGGGAACAGATACAAGTTGCAGCTTTTTCACCCACTACATATTTCAGGATTATAGATTCAGGGCAGAGTAAAAAAAATGACCTGCACAGGGGGGTGGTATTCTTGGATAGGGAGACACTGGGTGGTATACCAAGAAAGGAGGAAGTTCAGAAGCCAGCAGAAATGGTGTGGCTCAAACCCTAGGTGTACAGCAGGGTCTCACTTCTAGCAGTCTTCCGAGGCATAATCAAGGCAGAAATCTCAAACCAAACAGGAGCCTACAATTCTGCCTCTTTAAAGGAACTGAGTTTCCTAGCTGGTTAACAGGAGATGAATCCAATAGCAGTCCACTCTTACCCAGACCCAAACCCAGGTCAAGAACTTGCAGAGCTCAAACCGGGGCAGTATAGCACTCAGACTTTGATCTGGATCAGACCACTCAGGAAGTACTCAGGTCCCTAGCCTGTCTTTGAGATCCTGGAATACCACAATATTCAATACCCCCAAGAAAGCAGCAACAGCACCAGCCCAGACCTTCCCTTCAGCAGTACTTCAGAGCCCAGCCCTAACATCAAATCTGAAGTTAGGAAGCAGACGTGAAGAATGGGTAAACAATAAAAAGAACCCCACAACAATGAATGATTATGGTGGCAGTGACATAAATGCAGAACAAGAGAATGATTCCGAAGCATCTACAAATATTACTTTAGAGAAAGACACAGCTGGGCACAAATTCAATTAGGATTTCTGTAAGAAATGAAGCAAGAGTTTTTTTTTAAGAGTTAAAAATGTTTTTTATATATTAAATTAGAGCACTTGAAGAAAAAAATTAAAAAGAAATGATGAGAGCTATGGAAGAAAGAATTGGAAAAGGAATTAACAGTTTAGCACAAGAGATAACAGCATTTTCTCCAATCAGCACCCTCTGAAAATTAAAAGGGACCAAATAGAAGCCAATAACTCAATGAGACAACAAGAAATATTAAAAACAAAGTTAAAAGACTAGAAAAAAGTAGAAGAAAATATAAGGTGTCTTATAGCAAAAACAACTCATATGGGAAAAAAATGAAGAATCATTGAGTCCCAAAAGACAGCCTAGACATCATATTTCAAGAAATCTTAATGGAAAACTTCCCAGACCTTTTAGAACCAGGAGGCAAAGTAGAAAAAGAATTCACTGGTCACCTCCTTAAAGAAACCCCAAAATGAAAAATTTCCAGGAACATCAAAGTCAAAATTCAGAACTTCCAGGTCAAAGAAAAAATACTACAAGCATCCAGAAATAAAGAATTTAAGTACCAAGGAGCCATAGTCAGGATCACACACAAATTAGGAGCCACAACCATAAAGGAGTAGAGAACTTGTAATATGATATTCCAGAAGGCAAAGGATATGGTCTTATAGCCAAGAACAATTTGCCCAGAAAAACTGTCTACGATGCTACGAGGGGTAAAACGGATCTTTAACAAAATAGAGGACTTCAAAGCATTCCAGATGAAATGATTAGAGGTTTAGAGAAACTTTTGAAGTTCAAACACAGGAATGAAGAGAAATATGAAAAGTAAACATTAATGAACAATAATAGGGGACTAAAACAAGGAAATACTGTTTACATTAAAATATGGAGAATATATGTACTCTCTAAACATTCACATTAAAAGGGTTCATCGAGGGGGTTCAATTAGACAAGGTGTTGGATGAGTTCAGTTATGTCCTGATGATCTTAAGAATGGAAAGAGAAGGGAAGAGCAATATACCAAGGGGATGGGAAGTTTGAAAAGAAAGTTTAGGGAAAATGTTATCATATAATCAGGATGCAAAACTAGACATCTATATAAATAAGGAGGGGATGAGGGGGAGTGGCTGACAGTTGAACCTCACTCATCTGAACTAGTCAGAAGAAGGAAGAATAGACACACACAGCTGGGTACTGAAATACATTTTGCTCAATAAGGAAATGGGAGAGAAAGTGGAAGAGGGGAGTAGGAGGAATTAGAGGCTGGGTAGATTAAGTCAAGGATTAGAACTAAGCAAAACAAACTCTAATAATGTACACAAATTTTTATAGCTCTTTTTGAAGTGGCAAAAATGGATATCTAAAGGGGGTACTCATAAACTGGCAAATAGATAGACAAGTTTTGATATAAAAATGGGATGGAATACTATTGTGCTGAACTCTTATTATACTAATGATGAAACATGCTACCCACCTGATGGAGAGGCGAAGGCCTCAGAAAGAAGAATGAGACAAGTAATTTTTTAGGCAAGGCCAATGCAGAAATTTGTTTTAATTGACTATACATGTTTGTAATGGGTTTCATTTTTCTTGTGTTCTCAATTGGCAAGTGGAGTGAAGAGGATCTTCGTTGATTAAAACAAATAAAATATTTTTAAATGAAAAAAAAAGAGAGACAAATTAGTTCAGATGGCTTATCAATATGCCTAATGGTAGAATTATATCAGAGCTTCAGGTAGTATGGTGTAGCTGGAAGAGTGAGAGGAACTTATGTGGGTACAGGCTCAGATGAGGGGACAATGGGGAAAGCATTATGGAATTGTACATCTTTCCCTCTCTGGCAGATAGGCTCAAACAGGGTACCCAGGGAAGACTTATGGGGCCCTCATCCATTGAGAAACTTTGCCTTCTTCACTGCTGAGTTTTAGAGACCAATCACACTGAAAGAGCTTAACTGTATACAGTTCTATACTCCTAATCATAGAAGGGGGGAAAAACCCAAATATCTTAAAGTAGCTACTATGTAGTCTGGGAACCAGTAGCTTCTACATCCAGGCAGCCCTAAATGTTTTATTTCTAGAGTCAAGCCCCAAACCCAGTTTAAAAACAAAAACAAAACTAACAGCCATTTTTCAAGACTGTTCCATTTATTCCAATTCAATTCAATAAATGTTTATTAAGAACCTACTACTTAGACATACTGTGCTAAGTGCTGGAGAAACAAATAAGAAAAAGAAAGAAAGCCTCAAAGAACTTACAACCTAAAAGAGGAAGACAATGAAAAAAGAGGAAACTGGGGGTGGGGAGGAGACACCAGAGGGTACTCATTGCACAGGGGCTTCTTGTTCCATAGAGTTGAGACCAAGCAGAGCTGCAGATGCAAGGTAAAGACTTATGACCAAACTTTCCAAAAAGTTAATGTCCAACTATTTAGGGAACTCAGAAGTTGGATTTCCCAGCTAGTTCCTTTCTCCTCTTCAAGGTTCACCTTGCCCTTTTTTTTTTCAACATGTATCTAAAAAAATTGAAGAGATTCCATGCTTAGCTTGAAATTAATGAGGTATGAATGGTCTAGATGGCTCAAGCAACTTCTTTACCTGGTTCCAGCAATCTCCCAGTCTCCAATGCTCCTCTAGCCACCATCAACAGCTATTTCCTCCACCAGCAGTTTCTCCACTCTCCTTTTCTTGTCTGGTTCCTCTCCTGAAAACTGGTTTGGCTACTGATTCCTGTTCTGATTGTTCCCATCTACCCCTTTACCAGTGGCCTCACTCTGGTTTCTCCTGCCACATGCAGTCATCATTTGTCTCAGAAGCCTATAGCTGCCCAGTGCCCTGTAACTGCCCCGTTAATCAAGTCTTAACGTAGGAAACAATGCCAGGACCCAAGCATGCTGCTTCTGTCCCACTGGCTGTTTTGTTTTCTTTTTCCCTCTTTGAAAAAAACTAAAGTCCTGGGCCCATAACCTACATGACATTACTACATTTAAGTTCTATGCTTTCCCACTGAAAATTATATTTTTCCCCCTCTCATTTTAGGGAAGTAAATCAAGTATATATGAAGCTGAAACTAAAGGTAGGAATGAAATGACCACTATCCTTTAAAACAGAAAATTCCTTTTACAACTGAGGGAAAGGGAGTGGGGGAGCCGGGATGTGTGAGGTGGGGTGTGGAGTTTGCCACCAGGTGAAAATGATTTGAAAATATTTTCTTAGTAATAATAATTTACATTCATACAGTACTTTAAAGTTTGCAAAATGCTTTACATAAATTATGGTAGCTAAGTGGTATAGTGGATAGAGTACTGGATCTGGAGTCAGAAAGAACTGAGTTCAAATCTGGCCTCAGATACTTACTAGCTGTGTGACCTTGAGCAAATCACTTAACACCTATCTGCCTCAATTTCCTCAATTGTAAAAATAGCACCCATCTCCCAAGGTTGTTTGTGGGAATCAAATGAGTTAATATTTGTAAAGTACATGGAACATAGTAGGCGATATATAAATGCTAGCTATTGTCAACATCATCTCCTTGTATTTAACAATAGCTTTGCAATGTAGCTAGCTCCTATATGTATTATTGTTCCCATTTTACAGATAAGGAAACTGAGGCTGAGAGAGGTTAAGTGACTTGTCTCTCCATGGTTACCCAACTAGGAAGTATAAAAGAAAGGATCTAAATCCAGATTTCTCTTGATTCTAGGTCCAATACTACTTCTTGTTTACCTTGCCAGTAACATGATGAGGAGAACTGTGTAGTACTACCTATTCCATCACGCAATGTAACCATGCATATATTTCTAGAGTTGCATTGTATTTGCATATGCTGTTTCTAGAAAATGAAACCCAACTTGAAACAGTACTACTCTTCTTTTTCTCAATCCTTTCCCTTCTACCCCAATACTTCAATCAATCAACAAGCTTTTATTAAGTACCTACTATATGCCAGACACTGTGCTAGGTTCTAGGGATATAAAGACAACCAAATAGTTCCTGCCTTCATGCATCTTACATTCTGGTGGAAGAGGTGGCATGCGACAGATATGTTTTTTGGAAACATACATAAAATTAACACAAGGTAACCATGGGGATGGAGGAAAATCACTAGGATCAATGGGGAGAAAGGGGAGTTAAGGAAAGGCTTCATGTAGAATGTGGCACTTGAGGTAAGTCTTGAAGTAAATCTAATATTCCAAGAGGTAGAGGTGAGAAGGGAGTATATTTTGGACGTGGGAGATAACAGCCATTGAAAAGAGCATGCGGGCCAACTAGGTGGCGCAGTGTATAGAGCACTGGCCCTGAAGTCAGGAGGACCTGAGTTCAAATCCGGCCTCAGACCAAACACTCAACACACTTACTAGGTGTGTGACCCTGGGCAAGTCACTTAACCCCAATTGCCTAAAAAAAAAAAAAAGAAAAGAAAAGAGCATGTACTTACTAGCTGTGTGACTTGTGATGCAAGTCACTTAACCCCAATTGCCTTAAAAAAAAAGAGCATGAAGATAGAAGACAGGGAGTATCTCATGTGAGGATCAATAAGAACAACAGTGGTTAGACTGTAGAGTTAATGAAGGGGAGTAATATGTAATACTGAAAAGGGGGCTGGATTTTAGAAAACTTTAAATGCCCCACGAAAGAGGTAAAAGGAAGCCACTGAAATCTGGGGATGGGGTGAGCAGGGTGACATGGTCAGAACTGACTTAGGCAAGTCACTTTGACAGTTGTAGGAAGAATGGCTAGGAGTGGGGAGAAACTTGAGGCAAGGAGAACGATTATGAGGATATTAAAATAATCTAGGCAAGAGGTCATGAGAACTTGAAATTGGGTGGTAACTGCATGAATAAAGATAAAAGGATATATGTGAAAGTTACGGAAGATAGAAGCAACAGAATTTGGTAACTGGAGACAAGGATGAAAATACTCTTAATGGACAGGGTTAGTGCTCATATGTTGTGGTATTTGTAACAGGACTTGTTTTCTAGCTTCTCCTCTTTTTATATTCTAAATTGATCCAAAATGAATTGATCAGTTATTCCAGTGGGGTTCTTTGGACCTCTTTACTCACCTCTAATAGAAAAATTCCAGGGCAAAGAATGCAAGATATCTAGCTTTGGTTTTCTAGTTACCTTCTTTCCCTTCCTCTATTAGATAAAGTTTAAGGTCTTAAACATTGCAATAACCATAGCAATCTGTTAGGTCAGTCAACAGGAGAGCATTCAGGTGGCACAAAAGGAGAGACAATTGCAGGGCAAAAAAATGACACAGCTATATTACCAAGTACCCTCTTAACTGAACACCCACCACCAGTCTTGGTCACTGCTCATGAGGATGGACATCTTCGAATATGGAGCATGCAGGTAAGGTTATAGCATATCATTTGTTTATAATGAGAATCATTTGAGGTGGAAAAAATATTTTCAAGGAATAATAGGCCATATTTTGTGACTCTTCCATTAGGCATTTACCAAGACTGCTCAAGTATGCCAGAGTACTCTAGTGTTCCCTAAATTTTTTTTAAAGACATTATTTGATGCTTAGCATCTAGATATTAAACACAGAACATTTTGTAAAATGAAATACACCCTTCCCCCACCCCGTAAATCTCCCATATAAACATAACTGAAAAACAATGTTCATCAAACACACAATACTTAAATGAATCTATGATCTCATTGATTGTAGGGATTACTTCTAGTGAAGCAGATTGAAAGCTATCCATGTCTTCCCATCTTTTACATCTCTTGACAAGTCTTCCTATTAATTTACCATGGGGATGAGGGAGGGGGTTCATCCAATCAATATGCAACGGACCTTCCTCAAGCTCTCTTGACATACAAGGATACTAATGGAGAACTTATGCTGGCCATCTGTTATCATCTGCTCTCACGACATGAACAGCCTACATTCTTTTTTCATTTATGCATTTCTTTGATGACAGCCTTTATAACACATCTTCTTTTTAGTTTCTTGTTTATAATCCATTTATGCCTACCATGAGCCATTCCATTGCCCTTTGGGTGATCCTCAATTTCAATTATTCAAAGACTCACTGTGCATTTAAAGTGTATGTCCAAGATACACATGTGTATACCAGCATATGTTTGTGATACACATATATACACATATATATGTGCATATATATATTTATGTGCATGTGCACACATACTCCCTGATGAAAGAGTTCTACAGGTAGTCCATCCAACTATAAATTGATACTCCTAAAGCACATCTGACCATGTCACTCCCTTGCTCTAGAATCCAATGTTTTTTTCTATAACTTCAAATCAAATTCAAGCTCCTCTGTTTAGCAATTAAAGTCATTCTCACTCTGATTTCCACTTACCCTTACTAAGACGATTGCACGTTACTTGCCTTCACATACTCTACAATCCAGTTAAATTGGCCTAACTTTCTGTTCTCTGTGCAAAACATTTTATTTCCCACCTCTATGCTTTTGTACAATGCTTTGCACAATTCCCTTCTTACCTCCACCTTTCAGAATCCCTAGTTTACTTTAGGATTTAACTGGTGTGCCTCCTACTGGAGGATTTTCTTATTCCCTTCATTTGTTAATGCTTTCCCAGACCACATTTTGTATATATTGTGTGTATACATATATATATATATATATATGTATATATGTAGTATATATATTTGCATTTACCTATATAGTATGTTTCCCCTAATAAAATGTAAGCTTCTTGTGACAAGGATTGTTTTTGTCTTTATATCCCCAGAAGCTAAAAACTGTGCCTTACATATATAGCATGTGCTTAAGAAAATGGAACAGTGCTATATGGAACAGTGATACACACACATACCTATACATATATGTGTGTATATATATGTATATATACATATATACACACACACAATACATACATATAGGTATACTTATATACACACATATGTATGTATGTGTACATGTGTGTGTGTGTGTATGTATTTAACATATGCTTGCTGAATGGATACATAGTATCCCTTTCCCTGGATGTCCTTCCTTTACCCTGATGGAGAGAGATGCTGAGATTTGACATCAGGTGATGACAAGAAGTGAGGGCAGACACACAGTGGAAGCCAGGAATGCCACATTCAGAGTCAAAAACTGGATGAGATCACTAAGACAGTACTGGTGACAGGAGGTGTTTTTTAGTTGGGTTGAGCTACTGGGTCCACTCACTTGTCCTTGGAGTTGAACTAGCTTCAGTTAGAAGATGTTGAAGGTGCCTATAGCAACAAGACAGTCAAATGAGATCAGAAAATATCATTGGTCATGGAATTTGTTTACTCGTAAGTTCACTTGGATCTCAAGTCCATTTCCCATGTTGTAAGCCCTGGGTCCAGAATTCTTCCAGGGTTTCTGCCTTTTTCACAGGTGAATCAAACATTAATTAGGTACTCCTTGCCCACTGGAAGGGGATAAGCAATGGGGAACTAAATAAATTCAAATAACATACTCCCTAGAACTCATGGTTGGAGCAATTCTGTACAGTGTGGGGGACTTCCTAGATTGCGGAAGAATCATGGGTTCACAATGATTTGATAGATATCTTATTACTTTGTTACACATTAGTTCCTTCTTATGTACTATTTGCCTATCAATTCTATGCTTAAAAAAACCTGTCACATATAATATCTGAGCATGATTGTCTATTCTTATGTAAACTACATTGTACTGAGGTTATATGACTACCACTCACTAAAATATAATAAATTCAGAAAGAGGACTGGGTTCATTAGTAGGTAGAGGTTAAAGGGCTAAAATCTGACTGTGTAATTCTTTAAATACACACATGCCTTGACAACTAGTTGATGCTACCCCACAGAAAGATTTAGAGCTAAGTAACAGAAGGTCTCTAGTTCTGAAAAACAGAGCATCACACTTACTCTTCCTCCTAGTGGGGCACACACAAACCACAAGGGTGAATATGGGGCTTCCCAGGATCCAGATCCTTTGAGCTGGACAGGATTGGCAAGTAACTATCAATGCTACCCAGTGGTTAAACAATTAATATAATAGTCTAAACAATAGGCATCGCTATTTCATTTGTTTTTTCCTCTGTCGGTAGTTAAGTCAAACTTAGAATAATTATGCATCTCAGGAGGTACTGTAATGTTCCACAGAGGTTCCCAAAGTGGGTGATACCACTCCCTGGGGGATGTTAGAATGATCGGGGTGGGGGGTGGTAGCCTCTGGTGCAACTGGGGGGCACTGAATAAAAATAAGAGGGCTGTGCAAGCATAAGGAAAGAAGAGAAGAGAAGTTTGGAAAATTGTTCATACATGTTTCATCTGTTGTGTAACAGAGTTACATTATTTTCCAAATAAACACAGAAAATGCAAGTTATAAAGGATCAGGGGTCAAGTTTGCCAACAGGTCTTAACAAGCAAGTGTTGGCAGGCAAGTGTATCATGCATTGTCAGGAAATACAGAATGCATTGGCAGGAATATGTGCGGGTAATGACTTGTTTACAATACAATATTATATAGTTACATGATGCTATATTGTGTCATCAAAATTTCAATGCAGGAAAAAATCCACAAATTTACAATAAATTATTAAATTTAAGATGTATCATTTCAAAAAATATTTTATATTTTAGAAATGATGTGAATCTTTTAAAAAACCCCTAAAGAATTAAAGAAAGTAGATTTCCGGGGGGAGGCATTGAGTAATTATTTTAAAAGGGGCAGTAAGCCAAATAAGTTTGGGAATCTCTCTTCTAGGATATGAGATAACCAGCACAATGTTATCTACAAAGAAAAGCATTCAGAGGACTTCACCATCTAGAGGGAATTACTATTCAACTTGAATTTTGCACTAGATTGTCTCCACATTAACAATTTTGGCCAACACCCCCATGTTTTCTCCCTCAGTTGATATCAATGATCTAAGGGTCATCAAGCAAAAATGTTTTTAGTTGTTATATCTTTAAAAGAATATTACATAATTTTGGCACACGCATGGGAGGCACATTATTGAAAGATAATTTTTTTTAAGGCAGCATTTTATACTATTAAACCAAGCATTTTTTATATCATGGTAGGACCTAATAGTCTCTATATCATGCAGTCAGTTATGTAACAGTAAAGATGTGGTCAATAATGAACACTTAAATGTGAAAACCTTATCAAGGAATGCCTTCTTATTAAGGAATATCCATTCTCTTAGCAAGTACAGCAATATATGTATACATTATTCTCAAAAATTTTTCTATAGATAGAAAAGTGAGCGTGTATGTTCTCTTCACAGACTTTCTCTTATAGTGGTCAATATTTTTCCCCACATTTTTGGCATTTTTGTAAATATTGAGAATTGATCTCTCAATTCCTTCAAAATCTATCACAGAACCCCTCTGTATATTTGATCTACTTCTGGTGTTCTTCCCATTTTTGTCTTCTTCAATGCTACTGATGTTAGAGTTTAAATACAGGTTCTACTACCCTTGATAATGAAAATAGTTTGTTACAAAAATATTTGCAGATCATTTCCATCTTTCATGAATTTGTTGTCTTTCTTTCAATTTCATCCTTAAATGCCTACCAGATGATGCTGGGGTATTTTGCCAAATTTTCTTTAAATCATTGCCCCTCTTCTGTTTCTCAATATCTTTAGAAGCAATGTTGCTCATAATAATCTACTATCCTTCTCTATAAGAATTTACAAATGAGTTTATTTTCTAAACTAGCATTTACTCTTGCCTGCCATTCTCACTGGCAAGTAAGTCAAGTTTGCTAAGGCATTCTTAGGCTCTTTTGTTCTCTTCAGTATAGAAATTGGTTTACATTGGTTAAACTTCTGTAGAAATTCTTGTAATCAATGTCAATCTTCTCATTAATTTCCAATTTTTCAGTGCCAATAACTTTTTGGGTGGATAGTCAAGCTTGGATCCTAGTCAGTTAGGACTCAGTAAAAAACTTGAATCTTCAAGGCTACAGCAATAATAGCAAACTTGGCAAGGCCTATGATTCTGATGTGATGCCCCCAATTTTTTTTTGCATGAACTAAGTGTAATTAAAAACCTACCAACCCAATAACATTAAGGCTTAGAAAAACAAGAACAGTTGCGTGTGATTTCTGAGCAAAAAAAGAAGAGTCTGCCAGAGTCCTGGGGAAGACTATCAGGGCAAAAGTGAGCCTCTTATCATGGTTACACATCCAGAAAGATGTGTCTTGGGTGCAGAGCCAGAGCAAGAGAAAACATTGCTAATTCAGGAACCTTAGGGGATTATATTTCCAATGGCCAAGCAAAAAAGTAGTCATCCCTCAAATGAAAGAAATATTCTAGAACAGGTGGTTACAAAAGAAGGCCAACCCTTGTCTTGAAGGTATGACCAGCACAAGATGAAAGAATG